TGACATACATCTGATGGTCGTCGGCATACATGCTCAAATTAGCATTATTTATATGAAATGACATATCATTTTGGAACAAATTCCACAGAAGGGGGCCAAAGGACGAGCCTTGCGGGCAGCCAAGCACCATCCTTTTCCAGTCACTTGTCACTCCTTTTATTTTCACTCTATTGAGCCTATTGTCAAAGTATGATCTAAGAAGGTTGAGAGAATTTTGTCCAATGCCATAGGCCTCGAGTTTCTTTACGATTAGAGAATGGCTAAGAGAGTCAAAGGCTTTACTCAAGTCAGTAGACAGTATGTACACCAGTTCCTTTCTGTCAACAGCTGATTTCCAGTCTTCCACGAGTCTAAGTAGAGTGGTCTGACAGCTATGATGTCTTCTATAAGCTGTCATTCTCTGATAGAGAGTTGGATCATAGTGCCCGGTGATTTGCTTACTGAGCATATGCTCAAATGTCTTATTTACGGTAACAAGGGACGTGATGGGACGATAGTTCTTCGCCAGTTGTCTGTCACCTTTTTTAAACACTGGCGTCCACTCTCCCATTTTCCACGCACAAGGCCATCGCCCCAGCTCGATACAGCTGTTGTAGAGAGTCATTAGCGATGGGGCAATTCCACAGGTCACGTTCTTAAGGAGCTTAGGCGGTGCTCCGGGGTCCCACCCACAGGACTTATTGGGGTTGATATTTTCAAGCACCTTTTGCACTTGATCCTTGCTGACAAGATTGAACTATAAGTGCGTTCCTAGGTATGCTTCTCTTAGAGCTTTAACGCTGCCATGGTTGTCGTGGTTCTTTATCGGTATCATTTTGCCCTATGCTCAAAACATTTACATTTTTCATAACATATCTTTGTATACTTACTTTCATAATTGATGGATCAGTCATGAGAGCATAAAGAGGCTGAGCCAAGGATGCTGCACCAGTGCACTGCAAAGCCACGACTGTATGGATCACAATTTCAGCCAAGGCGTGCTCCTGTGGACTCTTTCCATTGTATATTTGAAGTTCCCTTAGATTTCCACCCTGTTTGTTTTCAAGAAGTTCCTTGGCGAAAGGACGGGCCTAAATTACAAACAGAGCTCAATATAGAGAAAAACTTACATTTCAACAGGCACAACAACGAGAGAGTAAGAAATGTAAGGTAACGGTGACTGTGCAATTACCAATTCCTATACAGGAGTTGACGACATTTAACAGAAAATATCAGGGATTAAAAAATGTGGTAATTGTTCCTTTCTTTTCTAGTCACCTCGCCAGCAATCGATTTTGCAGTAAACGTGCGTTCATTTTTTTTTAATTGGTCTTACCGTTTCATCTAGGTGTCCTCCATTTCTTACGAAATCATCAAGCTTTTCCCTCACCTGATAAAAAAAAATCATCTTCTTTTCTGAAAGCAGCAGGCATGACTATAACGAATTAGCGCGAAGGAAGAATGACTAAGAATACAGAGCAGAGTTAAGTTTTATTTGGAAAGTTTGAATCGCTTTCCCTTACCTCTCGAGACAAATTTTGTGTCTGTTCTGGGGAAACATTTGCCATCGTTATTTCACGGTAGATCACCAGGAGGAGAACAACGTTTTTAGAGACATCCTGTAATCTTGTCTCCTTAGAAAAGAGTATTCAAAAGTTCTAATGGTGTATTGTTTGGAAACTTTGCATGAAAGATGTTCGATGGTTGACTTAGCCTTTATTGTTTAAAAGTACTTACACTTCGCTAACCAAAATGGTTGTAAGCTGTAAAACTATGTGATGTAACCTTTAAGTTTTCTAAGCAACATATGGCAATTTGCGGTCTTTCCTTGCACTTAGGTGGCACGGAAAGCCGTAAAAATCTTCAACAAAAGCTCATCTTTCAAACCGGCAGTCTCAATCCCACAGGGATCAATGAACGCTTTTCATTCCACTAATTTATTCATGTTTTTCTCGTTGCCATGCACCCACCAATAACGTAGCTCCATTTTCTGCCTTTAAAAGCACACACAACCCACAATTCCTCTATTCGCTCCGACGAAGGGCTAACGCTCGAAACGTCAGCTTTTGTAATCATTACGGTGGCCAATTTACCATTTCAACTTTGTTGATATATCCAAATTATTTCGTTACTCCCACCGACGCAGCCCCAAACAGTTTCTTTCGAAACTATCAGCCTTTATTCATTTCTAAGACTAAGACTGTCGTTAAAATAATCCAAGGGTGGATGCAGCATATTTCTTAACAGGGGCTGCACTGCTAAGAAATACCTTAGCTGACGGGTGACGTAAACAATTTTTAAAACGAAAAACGAAGAAGAAAGCTTACGACTAAGCAAAAATATAATGTGAACTTCTGAGAGTGCATTGCAATTCAGAAAAATTTGTACAACCTTGAAGTTTTATCAGTAAACCACAAGGTGAGTGAGTGATATCTATGAGAAAAGAGTACCAACGAATTCTAAAATATCTCTGGCCCCAGGTTTTGCAATGTCATTTCTAAATGTCTGAAGTTGACCCAATCTATAATGATGAGAGCGACACAGTAAAAACAAACCGTAATGGCAGTAACAATGTCTTGGATGTTCTCACTGATGACAGTTTTGGCCAGCCCCTCACGGACGGCACGATAATGGTCTCCATGAACAATAAATCTGTCTTGGATTACATCCTCCTCCTACAGATTAAAGACCGAAAATCAATAGGAAGCAACTTGCAATAAGTAAGTAGAATGTAAAAAGATTGTTATCTTCAGACATTTAAGGGAAGTATTTCATAATGTGGAGTACAGAAAGAGGAAGAAAAGAATCTGAATTTAAAATTTTTTCCTCTTTTTGGCTCCTAAAGTCCTCGACCGTTGCGCTTTGGAAACACTTGTGGTTTTTGAGTGATATTTAAGGGGTTTTAGTATATTTGCTCTCACTTGAGTAAAAAGAAATTCAGCTCAAATGGTGGTTGGCCTGGCTATTTATCAGGTTCTATGTAGCGGAGTAAGTAGAGCACCTGACTACGAGGTTAAAACTTTCCAAAATTGAATACTCCTGGCATTCAGATTTTCCCTTTCTGTACCATGCTTACGACATATGCATACCATTTTTCTTTTAAGATTCAGTTCTCACAAATTTCAACGAAATCCAATCAACAATAATTCACTGTCTACCTGCTGTCTGGCCTCTAGTGGTAGAATCCACGCCAGTTCCTCATATCCACCCAGAGTCCGAACACAGTCCAAGCCATACCGCCTGACAAGCTGTTTAAGCAGGTAGAGCTGCGGTGTGGAACTCGAAACTTCCGTGCAAAGCTTCCTTGCAGACTCTAATAATAACATCACTTCTCTCTTGGCGTCAAGGTCTTTGTAGCTGCTATCTCCCTCAATGAACAATTTGTAAAGATACTCTACTACCAGCGAGAAGACGTAACGTCCCTTGGCAACCCCATCTAGAGAAAGCGCGCTCATTTCAGCAGAATCTTCGTCAATGGCGCTAAGAGCTTTAAATGACTCTTCACAAGTCTTTCGGGCATGTTTGAGTTTTACTGTCAACTTCGAATCGGCCACTTTCGCTTGATAACGGCTGATAAGGATATCCTGAAGAAAAGGTAGTTAGAATTGAGAACAACTATGACTTGATATATATGTTCTCCACATAATAAAAGCAAAATAAGTAAAATCTCAGGTGTGTGGAGTAAATTTATTTGCGTATGAACTATTCTCGCCTTTACAAAACTGTATTAGTTTTAGTTTACACACCTCCATGCACTGGACGCATAAGAAACAGACTTCTTTGACGTGCGAAGGTTCTGGTTTTAAGTTCCGAGCCCCTTGTAAGAAAACTCCCAGATGCTCTTTCACCAACTTTGTCAACTTTGCACTATTTGAAGTAAATAAGACATTTTAGTATGCACTTCCTCATAAATTGGACAATTTAAAATGCACTGAAGATGTGAGGAAGAGATAACAAAGAAATCAGACATTTGGAGAGGCACAGGAAAGTCTATGTGCTGTGATCGAGAAAGAGATTGCTTGTAAATATTCTTACCTTGAGCGCAACAGCTGCTGGAGAAGAAATGAACGCACCACAGGGGTGGGGTCAATAGCATGATCAGGGAATGGAGAGAAATCCTTTGTCTGACTTGACTGATGACCGATAACATAACACATAAGTAGAGTGATAGCTTCCTGTTCAAGGTCCTTTGACACTGAGTCACCAAAACAGAATATCGACACCAGCTCCATGAAAAAGGCATTACATCGACGACGTAGCTCAGAAGCAGTCTCTTCATTGGTTCTGCAGTCATAAAATAGCATGAATAACTACCAGAATAGAAGTAGCCCATGTTTATTAATCCTCAAATTCGCTAATAACTTAACTTCGGCCATGGGCCACAAGCAAGTTTAAAGACGACTCGTGTCAGACTTTACCGAATGAGTTGTGGGGGAATTTGATCAATAATGTTGTCGGTGAAACGTACAGAGAATGAGGTCAATATTGTATAAAAAAATGCATAACGTACTGGTTTACCTCTGCTTGACGTCTTCACTGCAGTCAATCAAGAATTTTTCAATGGCCTGCAGCGACCTCAGCGATGAAAAGTCCGTTTCATTTCCCAAAACCTTCAAAACAAAGCAGTTTGTCTCTTTTTTTTTATCGAATTTCAATTTCCAGCTAATTATTTCTGTTTTGCATTTCCTAACTATACCCTACCTTCCACAACCTGATCACGTTCGCTGAATTGACATGTTCATCTTTCTCGGCGAACAAAGTTACGTGTTCCATAAAGAGTCGAACTGCTCCTGTTCGCTGCCACATGGACCTGATCCATAGAAGAAGGAAATAACCATAAGAAATAAGTAGTACTTAATCATTTATGTGCACTTCCTAATACATTAATTCTTTCTAAGGGATCCTTCAACAACCTCTTAAAATAAGGTACTACTAATTAACGTTTTACGTTGATAAAATTTAAGACATTTTTATGCGCAACAAAAGTCCTTCCCAGTCAAATTCTACTTAAAAGAAAAAATCACTGAGGCCAAAGCTTAACAAAATTTGCTCTCTCGCGTCATCCTCAGTACTGTACCTTGAATCATTTCCCGCCATTTAAATCTGCAACCTCGGTATAAATTCTAAAATGGCAAATTTCCAAGTTGAATAGATTCAGACTTCTAAGTACTTCTTTCAAGAAGTACCATTTAGTTCGCTATCAACGACAATTCTGTCTTGAGAGGTTGGGCAAGCAATTGTTGACTACACATGGCTTGCCGAAAGACCAACTGCAAGATTCTCTCATAAAGGACAGAGCAAGCGAACGACTGACTGATTATATAAATCTTACCAATAAGGTTTGCGGCTTATCCACACCAAACTGCTTCAAAGCCTTTAGTCGGCAACTGCTTGTGTCACAGTAAAAAAAGACAACAACAAAAGGAAAATTTGGTGTTTTGTTACCTGCAGTAACCAAGTATTACTGTTGATCTCTCTCCATAGTTTGAACATTTCTCCGTGACAGGTTCGAACCTCTCTTTCCTTATCATGTCTTCCACTGCTGGTCTTATAGACAAAACTCTGTCACACCAAGTTCGTCGTGTGTCCGGAGAAAGCAACAGCTCTCGCGATGGCTCGAGTGCCTCAAGACAAATATGCAATGCTATAACATCCAAAAGCTGTAAGAAAAAAAAAAATAGAAAAATGTAAAAGAAAAGCACAATTATCTATGATTTACATACCAACCAACTAACACGTGCAACTCAGATTTTGTATGAGTTATCATGGAGCCAGGCAACAGAACATCTCAAAATAACATTGTACCTAAAAGGCGGTGGCTCACTTTGCACCTGTAACTCCGTCACCATTTAACAAACAACATATAAATTTCAATTAATGAACAAAGGACCATTTATTCATCAAGCAGTGTAGAACCCCTCCCCCAAAATATCTTTCCTGGTATAGCAAAGATTCTGGTCATAATCGCCGCTAATAGGAGCTTAGATATTATATTACATTAAAATATTCGAATTAACTTACGAGCTCATAAAAATATGGAAACAGCTTAAACTACCATATAAATGTAAGCCTCAGTAAAGTGTTAAAACTCACCACTTCTGGCTCATTTCCTTTGAGAGCTTCTCGTAGTCTTGGTACCAGATCTGGATTCGCTTTGACGAGTGTCTCAAAACATTTTAAGCGATGTTGAATTCTACTGTATGCCACATGAACAAGAGCTACATCAATCGACTCATTACCATCCTCATCTTCCAAAGTACCAAGTTCTCTCGCCGACGAAAGAATGGCCTCGTAAACAAGCTGAAAGAATAGAAAAAAAGGTTGAATGAAATCGGGCTGAAAAAAGTGCTAGTGACTCACTGTCATTTCTCAACTTAAAGGATCAATATTCTCTGAATTTCCCGTCAAAGGGTAAATTTTCATATTTTTTTAAGGTGAAGGGCCCCTTCAAAAAGAAAGTATAGCTATTCTTCAATAAATTCTAAAGGGTAGTTTTATAGTTACATTATGTGAGGAGCTTCGGCAAATACTATCATAAAAACAGGGATTATAAGTGAAACCTCGAGTTCCATATCGCTGGAAGGCTTGTAAACCATGTGAACAAAATCCATCAGATACTGGATTCCCGCAGAGCTAAGACGGCGCAATTCATCGAGTGGAGGTCCCACCTGCGAGTTACTGATCAATTCACGAAAAGAGTCCAACAGAGTGGCGCTAGAATGAGCTGCAACCGAGGAAACAAAACATACATGACACAATCGTTGGCAAAAATAACTAAATTAACTCCTCAAGCTTATTTGATTGACGCCATGAACACCAGAATATATGACACATATTGAGCAGTCAATGATAGACAATTTCACTCTCATGCTGACAAACCTCGAACGATTATTCTGCTTTGAGTAAATCGCTCGTTGTCTGTAACACAAAAACAACGCAAACGGTTGAGAAACAAATAGAACAAAAGCAAAAAGTAGCACATGTACCTGTGACACTTAATGCGTCCTTCAACAATTTTTCCACACGTTGCTTGATAATGAATGAAAATGGAAATCGGCAAGAGAAACGATGACTTCCCGCTCCAGAACCAATAACTTGGACACGCTCTCGAACAGAATTAGTGCCGGGTGATATCATGTCGTTATAACTCAGCTCTGAGATGCTACGGTCTGCCAGAATCTTTAGCCACAGCCTCGAAACCCAAGTGTTGTCATTCTTCACCAGGTCTAAATTGCAATCTCTGTCTGCCAGTGCAATGATCTCCGCCAAAATAGGAACCACAACTGAAAACACTCGCTGCAAAAGTGCCTTCCGAAAGGTGCCCCACTCTTGCACCCCTGTTCCCGACAGGGCTTCTGATTGGAGCCATCCTTGTGGATTTGCCGCTGTTAGCTCTCTTTCCTCTAAGAGGTGGTGTGTTCTTCGTACTACTACACTTGCAAACGACTCTTTATCTTAAAATAGATGGGAGTGAGTATTGAAAACACAGTTAGTACTAAAATACTGAAAATGATGAGTTGAATTCTACCAGATCCTGAATTAAACTGGCTTTCTCAACTCACTTCACCCTCACACAGTATTACCTTCCTTGAACTAGTACTCCCAACTAAATGGCTGCCGTATAAATATTATTTTGTTTAAATTCAAATTAGCCATTCTGGCTTCGCTTCAGATAATGTATTCTTTTGAATTTTGTACTGGAGAACGAGGCCACTAAGGCTAATTCAAATTTAAACAAATGAATATTAATCCGGCAGCCATTTATGAAAGTGGTCTATGAGGATAGTACCAACGGTACGGTCGCATTATTGAAACACTAATCTTGAATTTGAAGATTTTCATTTGCCTTTCAAGTATGAAGAAAGGCAAACTTAAAACTTTGAAGGCTTCCAGCGCATTTTTCGAAAGTGTTGCATTCCTTAAGCAGAAAGACTTGTGGAAAATTCTCATATTCTATTTTTTTCATATTGTTAATTGTTTATTGTTTCTCTTTACTAACCCTCCTGACTTTGATAGTCATCAGGTAGTAAATCCAAAAGTAGCTCAATCCTATGAGTTGACCGTTCGGCTGATTCCGTTTCGCTATCAATTCTACAAGCGGCTGCCTGTACACAGTTGCGAAGGAGCTTCACCGCCACCGTCACCGCTTGCATAACGTCATCTTCTTTATTGAGGTTTCCACTAAAAAGCTCACTAATGGGACGATCGATGAGTTGTTCGATGGAAGGAGTGTGCCTACCAGGTGGACGAAGTTCATCAATGTGAGCGGACATCCATTTTCCACCCTGGAAACCGACAAAGTTACGACATCCACCAGCAATTCTTGGCAGCTGTACGATAAGCACAATATGGATAGCTTCCACCGAAGACAAATTGAGCATTTCAGGTGCGTTCGTTCGTTCTTCCAGCAGAATGTGCCTTGCACCAGCAATCAGGTTGAAGTTTTCATCTCCTGAATCACATTGAACCATAAGAATACCAGAACATTCTCCTCCAAGGTGTTCAAAAAAGGTTCTGCGAGAAAAAGATGAAGGCAACTTTTAGTAGAGTAAAACACGTACACATCGTAACAAAGTTACTCGACATACAAGCTGAGATACACTTTAAGCTTTTAATGTGTTAGGCACAGACAAAGTTTGCATAGAAGGTGGGTAGTACACGCCAGTTGTGAAATAAAGGTAACGCTCGTAATCAAAACTCGAAAATGTCCACAAAGGGTCCTCTTCTCCAACAATTATTCCTTGTACTCGACAGAAAAGGAAATTCACCTCACCTCATTTCATAGATTTTGCATTTCTATTACCTTGTTTATATCAGATGATGGATTCTGTTGCATAATTAATGCAGTTACAGTGCTATGTGCGCTGATTTGCATTGAGGTCTCACCTGACAGAGGCCCTAAACTGTTGCTCTGTTTGGAACCGTTGAAGAGTCATGAAATCCACAGTCGACTGTTCAAAGCCAGTCAGAGTGCAGATGTCTCCCAAATCGTTGTCGCAGAGCAGACGTGAATGAGTAGTAATCTAAAGCAATTATAAGAATCTGCCCATTACATGACAAAATCGAACAAACATAAAAAAACAGCTATAGTTATTCTTGACCTTATTAGAGCCGCCCCTTGATGTGTTGCTCTATTTATGTCATTTGGTGATATCACCAACCGCATGAGACAAATACATGTCGAGGTTCAGCGTCACAAATATGTTCCTTGCTCTCATTCTGAATCTCCTCTTTCTAAATGAAAGCCTCATTTTGACAGCTATACCCCATTCAAAACCGAGGTGAAACACGGTTCAAATTGGAGGGTTAGTTAAACTAATCTCTTTGAACTTCAAATCTAGCATATTAAAAATACAAGTATGTGACTAAGCCAGCCCCACGTAAAGTTCAGTTCTTCAGTTCTTTCCTGCTGATTTTCTTGTGGTTATACCTGGTTCAATGAAATATGTTTTGATGATGGGACATTAGTTATGGGCGTGCTCCAACGCCTTGTAAGACTTTGTTCCAGGGAAAGGTTTTAAGTTTCTCTTAACCACTCTTAAGTAGAGCATGTTGGTATCGTTATTATGCTATTAGCGCTTGTAAATATTGCTGCTTAAGTGGTTTTTATTTCCTCTATCTTAATTAAAGGAGAACAAAATGATACAATAGACGATCTACTTAGGACGCTGCATCCCCCCACACTAACTTGAATCAAGAGCCCCTCCTGACGCTTTTCATCAAGGTGACTATCCTCCAAATTGAGCACGTGCGACATGAACGCCGCCAAACTTGAGTGTTGTTGTTTTTTAAAGTAGACATTCCAGATATGAGGGGCTCGTCTTTCTAAAGCAGTGTGAGGAAGGCGAGCAATTGCATCAGGTGTAGCCATCTCCAAAAGCATCATCTGAGATCTTCGAAGTATCTAGTAAGTGAGAAAAAAAGACATTTTAACGTTACTTTACTGGTTTAGTGCAAGTAAACCTACATTTGACAAACATGAAATCTTCGTCATCAAAATCCCAATTCACGCAAAGTGCATAAAGGAGAAGTCCCATCTTTCACACGCATCTTGTGATGATCGATAAAAATCTCAAATATACAACAGAATATGTATTTGATAATGTAATACGAAATAATATAAGCAAATTACATAATGATCAAATTATTAATCCTCAAATCGATGACTAAACATGTCGGGTAGAATTTGCTGCTGCAGTGGCGAACTGTTCCCAACAATGTAAAAATTCTTGAAACTCACAAAATATCCCTTTTGTCAAAACAAGCGCAAGCCATAAAGATGTATTAACTCAAAATAGCATTTCTGTATAGCTTACTTTCATTTCCCATGTATCCTCTGAGTCATCACTTTCCGATAAGTGGTCTTCTCTCTCGATTTCATTACAGACTTGCATGACAATGGAGGGAATTGTATCCTCGTGAAACCCAACAAACGCGTCTCCAATGGAGAAGTCTCTGTTATCAAACATCAAATAAAAATTATTTAAAGAAAATAGCTCACAACTTATAAAATGTTAATATTATGAATAGATTTTGCATATGCTTTACCTTGTTTACATTTTGAATTGCGCCTCTATGGCGAAATTCTCGCATTGAGAACATCCCATCAGTTTCTCTAGGCCTACTCTGGGACCTTAAGTCGCCTAAAGTCGCCTTAAGTCGCTATTGGTTACACAACATTTTAAGGGTTTATAATTATAACTTATAATTTACCAATTTAAATAGCGCATATTTACATGTGCTGATCAATAGTGCTTATTAAGAGATCGGACATAGGCATAACAGGCGCCTCTGGCAGCTGCTTCAGTCCATGTTACAATCTCACCTTCCCACCCATCCCCCAGATACCCAACCATCCCACCCCAGGGGAGGACATCCACCACACAGTAATCTCGTGCATGGGAAATTAACATCTCCTACCCCTAACCCTGCAGAAGACGGGGCCTATAGTTTATTCGTCCTTATCCGAGGAGACTAGGATATCTATCCATTTCTTGATATTATAGAAAGCTAGCATGAGTATTGGTCCGGCCGGGGTTCGAACCCTCGACCTTCCGCACATCACAATCCGGTGCTCTAACCAACTGAGCTAACTGGGAGGAGGGTTCCACCCTAATCCCATTTGACCCCATTCACTACAGTCTAATCATAAGGATCAGAGGAGGAGGCATGGTGGCTGAATGGTTAGTGCACTGGACTGGACATTCGTCCATATTTGGTGTCTAGTGTTGGAGCATTTCATTATGTTCTTGGGCAAGATACTGCAAGCTCAAAGTGCCTCACCTTTTCCAGGCGTAGACTATGGTGACTTATGAGCATACAAAAGTAACCAAAATGACTATTGTGTTTATTCCAAGGGATTCTGCAAATATTTTCAAGGTTTATGGAGAGACTGTTGCTAACTTTGATTTTATCACTTCAGTCAAATAAAATCACTTCAAGTCGCCTTAAGTTGCCTGAAGTCGCCTTAAGTTGCCTTAAGTCGCCTTAAGTTGCCTTAAGTCTCCTAATGTCGCAATGTTTTTTCTGCTAATTTTGCTTTAGTCGCCTTAAATCGCCCAAAGTCGCTCAAAGTTACGGCGACTTAAGGCCCCAGAGTAAGCCTTTCTCTCGTAATCATGCGCACAAAGCAAACCCAAAATCCTGCAGTATTTCGAACATAGCACAATGCAATATAATTGAATGTCCTCAACTGAAAAGCCTCGAAACCCTTTGTGTAAAATCTCACCTGCCAAGTCTACCTTCACCCGGAACCTCCGCAAATTCACCGGCCCAGGTTCTCATTTTCTGTACCAAGTCCTTCTGCTCAGGAGTCAAACTTGTTAAGGTCACAAGGAAGTGTTTCTCCAGGCGGTTGATTAATGGAATGGGAAAGTTGTTGTACACCTCGTCCTTTTCAGCAATCACTATTAATCTGAGTAAGGAAGAGTGACTTTAAATTCAAAGCAATGGACACAATAAGGCTATATGGTCCACTGGCACAGCGTTTGTGAAGGAACGAAGGTGACTATGAAAACGACAAAGGCTCGGAATTGTCTTTCAAACGCAATCAAATCAAAGTCAACACAGGCTGCGAAAGAGACTACAATGTAAAGAGCACATCTACAATTATAATGCTTTCTGTCTGGCCGCTCAGAGTTGATAGTTGTAGAATTTCTAGGAAACTACTGTGACAAGAAAAAGTACGACCTAAAAAACTTATTAGAACCGTATGAATGAAATAAATAATTTTTTCAACCAACGGAATATAGAAAGTAACGAAATGGCCCCAGCAAGTGAACCAAAATCACGAAAAGGAGTGAAATTGGCGAGGATTCGACAGCATTCGAACTCGCACTTCCCAGAGACTAGGAGGATGTTACTAACCACTGGGCTAGGAAGCCACATATTGGGGTGAAGTAGATTTAAGGACATTTTTTTGTTCTCGAGAGGAATTTGCTTATATTAAATCGGAACATATAGAACGCTCTGACCAAGTGATAATACAAAGTAACGAAAAGATCGAGACTATCTAGATAATCGTCTAAATTTCTTACTTAAAGCCATCATCAACGCGGCATTTGACGCGGTGAGTACCAAGCCCAAGATCCACATACTTCTGTCCTCCAAAGTACACATAATACTAAGAATACAGGATACCAAAAAATAAGACATTCCACTGTCAAACCTTTCGCATTTCAACACAAGTATATTATCATTGAAAACACCACTTAACACAAAATAATTTCTTCATAGTGTAACAAAGTAGACCCCATCCTGCTTAGTCCCAACGAAGAGCACTGTAAATGCTAACAAGAAAATGTACAATATTTGAACGGATATATCATACCTGGTTCAGAGCGTCGTACAGACTCTCGTAGAGACTATCAAGGTTCAATAAGATCACTGTTCTTCCCGTCTCCATACAAACCTTGATGCGATTGATGTTGCGACAAATCTGCATAACAAGTTAAAGACGTCAATTGTTCAGTTAAACCAGTTATTCAAGGACTCCTACACAGAAAGCCACAAAGGACCATCTCTGAGCATTTTATGTAAGAGAAGTACATTCCGTATAAATAATATGATAGTCAGTCGGTGGTAGATTTGACTCCCGCGCATATTTGTAAATTAACGCTTTTATGACTCCGTTCACTTCTCTCAAAATACTTCAAAACATTGGATAGTAAGTCCTAAGAACAGTCATTGCCATCCGACAAGTGAGTGTTTTCGTGAAGTTTCGGACACCAACCCAAACTGTAAAATTTGGAAATCGTTCAAGTGAACAGCAGTGAATAAGATCTGAATTTAAGAAGAGTAAATGTTCCTGTTATAAGATGCAAACAGAGAGTCTTTTCTCCTGTGCGTTTTACCTGAGTGTATTCTTGGTCATTTGGAAAACTGCTTCCAAAGATGACCACTGCATCATCTGTTGTTCTCAAAAGATGCTGCTGCATGATGGGTAAGGCGGCGTAATTTTCAGTCAGAATCAGAAGGTAACGGTTCTCACTGTGGAGAGATAAGACATTTAGTTAACTTAGAAAGGTGTCCCTTCACTTTTTTACTTCAGCTACGGATACATATGAAAAAAAAAACCCAACGAAACAAAATACGAACGAATGAAAAGCATGGGATGGTATCAACTGCACCTGAAATTCTCTCTGTCTGCTACGTCCTCCCTTCCAAGACTTGCCTCGATCAGTCTTATTGTCGTGGAGGTTTCTGCTACATAGTCATCCTTCGTTGACAAGAAAAAGTCAGTAATTAAATCTTAAACCTTAAATCCATCCTCTATCCATATCATGGATCAAATTCTCCCTGCATCAAGCCTTTTCTCAAATTTTCTTTACCCCAAGGATATGGTAACATCTGAGTGTCAGTCTTTGCTTTAATCACGAGTTGAGCTATCATTCAGGAGTGCTTTATGGTTGGGTTAATTGTAATGAAGTACAGTCGATACAATATCAAAACAACTTTGACAATAAACTTAAAACTAAACTTTAAACTCGCTCCGACGAAGGGCTAACGCTCGAAGCGTCAGCTTTTGTAATCGTTACGGTGGCCAATTTACCATTTCAACTTTGTTGATATATCCAAATTATTTCGTTACTCCCACCGACGCAGCCCCAAACAGTTTCTTTCGAAACTATAAGCCTTTATTCTTTAAACAACTCACATCTGTTTCGGTATAGTAGCGTTTAAATATTTCTACAGGGTCTCCTTCAATCAGGCCCCCAAAGTTCCTCCTGATAGCGTGTTCCAGTTGATGCCACCTAGGTTTCTGTTGAGACTTTGCAGCGATCGCGTACACCATCTTAATGAGGCTTACGTAAGGAGACAAAAAAGGTAAATCACTTGAGTACGTAACTGCCAAGTATATTCATCATTAAGGAAGCGATGTAAATAGACTCCATGTCAAAGGCAAACTCTTTTAAGAGAGATGTTTAAACAGATCGAACCTGTAAAAGTCACGAAGACCGAAAAATTCTTCTTTGCCACATTTCCTTAACGTTGCAAAATTTTTCTGTTCCTCGTAAAGCTGTGCATATCCAGCTGCCAGAGGAGATATGAGTGACAGGATAAGAGCTTTTACCACTTCATCCGTGGAGCAGATTCCCCTAGAAAACAGTACTCAAATAAGTTGTAAGGAAGGAAAGGGGTCAACGGCAGAAACTGAAAAGAGCGACGTCGCTTCTAAACACATTCGGGAAATTTTCTTTAGTACTTCAGGAAGTTGATAGTTTTATCAAAATTTCGACAGGAAATGAAGAGACTATTATTTAATTTTCCTTGGCTCCCATTCTTACCGCAGATCAAAAGGCATTTGATCAATTTTTTGCAAAAGTTTCCCTACATAGTTATGAGTGCAAAAATTAAAAAAACAATTGCGCTGCCCCTGGTCAATAACTTTACACATGAGTAAACATAGACGTGAAAGTGACAAAAATACCATCAAATCCACTCACAATGCACTGTCCATAAGTTCTCTTTTGCTTGGTACCCCACGTGACAGCATGATTCCGCGGTTCATTTTGGCGGGATCCAAGGCCCAATTTGAGATTCCGATGAAAGCTACGCGCTGCGTTTTCTCGTCAGTCTCGATGACGTCATCAGAAGACGTTACGCCATCCTCGAGCAATGGGTGCAAGGTTTTAAGAGGCATGAGAGGAGAGTCTTCAGCCAGGCCAACTTCATCAAGAACCACGACCGACACAAACTTTTCAGGATTTTTTCCTTCTTGTAACTTGCTACACTGACGGAAGGTCGCCACGATACCCTCCGGGGTTGAAAGAGGACTGCATTGATAGGATGCCATGTGGACCTACAATGAAATTAAATAATATACTGCTGTTGAATAAAAGGACCTTGGAGTAAAAATAACAATGCTGCGTATGTGAAGCCTTTCTGGAGTAGAGAGGTAGGGATGTGACCCTTATAATGCCCACTTCCAAGGGGAAAACAAAACAATGAAATTACAGCGTATCTGGAAAGGCCTTACAACCTGCTTGAAGGTCTTGAATACTGGTGATCTGGCAGCATCGCCTTGCATGTTATCAGCAACAACCGTCTTGGCCAAAGATTTAGAGCTGCCTGGTTTTCCCACCACAAATAGTGGGATCCTTAGCTCAATACACACCACCATCATAAACACATTCTCGCTCAAGGCTGTGTTGCGAGCGATATTGGGGCCGAGTTCCAACTCATTTAGCACAGCTTTTTGACAACTATAAAAGACAAACATGAAACACACGAGACATTGCTTACTTACATCTCGTAAAGAAGGAGCAAGGGTGTCAGTAAAATTCCTGCACTCCATACCTCTTCTCGTTTTTGTCGAAGTTATCGTAAATCACAAAAAGATAGACTGGTCTTTGTGCAATATACTGTTTATAACTATCAACTGATTGACTGTTTTTCTAATTAAGTACGCAATATTATAAGTCTTCTAGTTCTTTCCGATCAAACAAACCACGAGTTGGATTAGCTTTTTCTCAAACCTTGAAATCTCACGGAGAATCTGCTTGTGGCCGCCTGGAAGCAAGCATGGCGCCTTAAAGCTGCGTGCCACGACAGTGCGATAATCTTCACGCCGCCCCTGAAGCTTGGCATGGTAGCAAACACCAATGGCGAGGACAAGGGCACGGGTAAGAGGGGTAATTGGCTCCTGCATGAATATACAACATCGTGACAATTTTAAACAAGTTTATCGTTGACCCATCCTGTACACCTCTCAAACATAATTGGACTTCCTCATTGCCACAAACATTTGTGATTGGAGGCAGAGACGGAATAGATGAAACATTTTCGTTTCTTGTTTCTGTTGTCATATTGAAAAATGTTGAAAAGATAGATCCAACTCTCTAGATGTTTAGGGTTTCATTCCTGCTCATTGTTTGCGGAATCAGGCAATGATTCAAGTAGCCAATTCCGACAAATGAGCTCAGAGTTTACCAACTTTCGTACTTATATTTTCATACAAATAAAGACTTTCCAAAGAAAGGTTCTGCACCAGATATAGTGCAAGTTTGTGTATGATGCAGATCCTTTTTGGTAGAAATGTGTTTAAACACTGATGCCAACAAGCTTTAGGAAAGACGCTAAATCTACCTGTGGTTGATCCAGTAAGTGAGGCATAAAATTTCGAAAGGCTTCTTTACCTCCTCTTCCTCCTCCTCATCTTCTTCATCAACGTCCAACCCTTCATCTCTTCGTTGGTCAGCTGTCACCTTTCTCATAAGTCTACCAAGTGTATCCACGTGCTTGTAAAACCAGACCATCACTTGCATGGCTCTCTCAACATCACGAAGACTAACAAAGCTGCACTCATCCTTGAATGAAAAGAAACTTTTTTTCCTTTAAGCTGACACGGCCACAGAGTGACTGCAAATACGAATTTCAGTTGTGAAGCTGATGCAAAAGAAGAAAAAAATTGAAAAACTTTTCACCCACCAATTGTTCCCTCATATATCTCTGCGAGGCTGCCAAAACCTCGGCGATAGCTTCTACTGTTGAAGAGTCTCCTACTAGTTGGCCTTCATGAACAATCTGTCAAAAAAAGGAAAACAAAACAATGAATTAGAACGATAGTTCTGTGACGGTGGAAGAGGCGTTTACTATCTACATTCTTGGATTCTTGGTTGCTTCAGAAAACTTCAAAGACAAAGAAAAAAGTACGGCCTTGTTAGATGGACTGATATGCTCTTGCTTTGAACGATGCGTTCAGAGGTCAGAAGAGCAGAGGTGGTATGTTATTTCGATTCTTGCTAGCCTCGTATCATGATTGAAGTGCCTACCTGTGTGACACGAAATTTTTCCTTGCGAATTTATTTGGCTTATCAGATGTACAAAGCAATTCAGATAGAAGACAAAATTCCGAAAAAACTAAAACGTGGTTCATCGGGTCTGAAAGAGGTCTGATTATGCCTGACGATTTTGTGTAGACTTGTGACGAGTTGGCGAGTGAACACGTAGAAAACTGTGAAAACTCTCATTTTACACTACAAATCTCTCGCATCTCCTGTTATTTTGTATAAATCAGCGTTGAAATACTGTTGAAATAATGTCTGATGGCGAGGCATACCTACTCTTAGTAAACCCTACCGATAGTTCTGATGCAATGTACTCAAGTAGTAAAGGAGAAATGAAAGTTGCAAATACAGTTCAGTCCTATGAAGAAGAATCGCATTCATCGAGCGAAGATTTCGACAAAGACTGAGACGGTTTCTCGCCTGTGGTGTTCCGGTCGAGAGAAGAACAAAAAAAACTCCCGCTGCTGAATGTTTACGTCGTTGCGTTTGTGTTTTGTATTCTGTGTCGAAATCTTTTTTAAGATTGGATAGCTGTTTTCATTTCTGTTGCAAGAACATATTCTTCATTCCTTATAAATTCGGCAAAGGTCCCCCTGGTCAGTGCTCTAGAGTTTCGTTGTTGTAGAGAAATTGCCTTAGCAAACCAAAAGCTAATTTTTTTACGGAAGCATCGAAAGAATTAGCAGTATCGTGAAACATGATGATTTTTCAACGAAAAGTCATCGGGCAGTTTCACTGCAAGCTGCTCATTTCCTCGGAGATTGTAAAGGCAAAGTTTACCGTCGTGGAGCCGGTCAAACGGAAAACGAATGAGTTTACAGTCATCTGATTCAAGTTCAATTCAAATAGGGATTCTCATTGCGAAGAACTTCTTTAGTTTAAGTGCAGCATTGCCAGATGACCCATTTCGCTCACTGACAAATAACTGACATCAGTGTCCTAAATAAATATTTCACATGCATCGACTTTCACACAGCTCTTGGATTCACCACCATCTAATTCCATAATATTTACGTTTCACAATTTATCTCGTCACAGCGCGATTATCACAATGACATTGCTATTGTTGCTACTTTTAGTTTCTTGAAGACAGTGGGGAATTGATGGCTCGTAAGGTGGATATTTGGAAACCTAGGTTGGAGAAAACATGGCCCTTTTGAGCTTGTGTTTTGGCCAGTATCCGACGAAAGTTTCACATGACTCAGGTGAAAGGATGTCGGTCAGTTCAGAAAAGGGCTTAAACTTAGTTACAAATGACGTATTTCTGTTATTAGAATAAGATGGAAACTACAGTTGCTAACATTCTCATTCGAGAAGAAGAGCGCAATCATGTCTGGTGTGGGAAGAGGCCCCTTAATCGGCAATCGTTTCCGCAGAATAAATTGGCCATCTTCCCCTAGATTTGGTCAGTGGCATGTGTTCGTAAAAGCCGGGAGATAGCATAAGGCCGACGACTTTGAAGGAGTTAAATCTCCGCAATGTCGATGATCGAAATGCGTCCATTCTGGCCATACAGCTACATCCTTTGGAAGGTGCTGTATTTCAATACCCGGTGCATGTGTATTATTGTAGCAAACATCATTCGGCACTCCGGCCACGCCATACGTCCGTTTTCTCTACTTGATTTCTCTTTTCTTCACCATGGTTGCCGAAGTGTCTTCATAGTTTTCTACGTCACAGCCATGTAACATGATCAATGCGCGAAAAAAATGGTCAATAAGAACTCGCTAGGCGCAAAGGTCGATTTTTTCAAATGTTTTCAAATTAAAAGATACACCTATCAAGCAAAAAAATTCAAAAGAATTCCGTGTCATCGGCACTTCAAGAAAGTTATTCCCATTTTATAACACCGTCGATTTTTGTGAAAGCATCTTAGGACTTTAGACATTTTTAGATTCATTTTCTCGATTGAGAGCGCACACTTCATTGGTTAAAAGCATAATTATTTGAGGTCATAAAAACATTTAAATATACTTACGTAGCGGTTGACAATTTGGTTGGTGTACAGCCGCTCTACATCCGGTTCCAATTGACCAAAATCCCATATCAACGGACGCATGCTCCCTGGCAGGGCGTGCACACGGTAAACGAGATGACGTAATGGAATGTGACCTGTTGGGAAAATGTTTTCAAAAACTGATTTCCAAGCGACGATTTCATTTGCCACTAACTCAGTTGTTAGGCTTGTCCACCATCCCTCCCGCATGCGGGACACGCGGAACACGAGGGTTATTTATCGAGTGCTTATGTTAGGTTTCAACCCAGCTTGGATGACTAGCACCAGACACGATAACCGGTGGACAGCACTTGCTCAAAACTGATTTCCAAAAATTCAAAGCAGAGAGAAATGCTAAAGAACTTCAACATTATAATCATTAAGTTTCCATACCAAGCCGATCTTCCGATTCATCTGCTTTCACATGATATCCAAGACCTGCTGACTCCAGCTTGTGGATCATATCGTCCGTGTGCCTAGTAAATGAAAAAGACAACACCACTTTCCCATTACTATTCATTTCTTGGACACTTCACACTTATCTATAAAGCACACGATTCACCTTCTGTAAGGGTTGCAGGCAGCGATAAACTGCAGCCTTTCTAGCCCTTGTCCAATAGGCCGACCATTAATTCTTCGGTCAACCATGACCTCCTTTATCATGGTCAGCGCCTCTGTAGTGTTCGCTTCATCAAAGAACAAAACTGTGTCAATGTTCTTGTCTTGATTTGCGCGCGCTAACTCTTCTGCTTGATGAACTTTGAGCTTAATGTCTTCGTATGTTGTACCACCATGAACCTTAAATATAAAATGTTAAATTACTAAAATATAATCCTTGTGCATCATACCGTCTCGTTTGGAAAGAGTTAAGCTATGTAACATTAAAACTTACTTCCAAACAAAAAGGCACCTAAAACCCTTCCTTCAATTAATTTAAAACATTGTACAAAATTAAAGCGTAGTTTTGCCTGAGGAGAGATATGGAACGGTATCCAATCGAATCCTGCACACTGCAAGCACCAGCATCAACCCCTCAACCATACCCGTGACACTACCATCACCATCAACCTCACCATCTCCACTATTGGTTGCAAAATTTCCAACACCACCTTCGTTGGCAGCAGCAGTCGTTATCTACCGACCTAATTTCCCTAGCACCACCTCAAGAAGCACCACAATCACCATCACTTAACTCACAATACGAGAGCCACCACAACTAGTCCTTTGATCCCCTCCTATCCCTGCCACCAAAAGCAGCCGCCACCCACTTCATTCTTACCACCAACAGCGCCACTATCTCTGCCACCATCAGCAGTCACCTTCCACCAAAAAATCATTGCCACTACCAGTAGCTCATCTACCATCAAAATCATTGACACCAGAAGCTGCAGCAAGAATGGGGAAAAATACCATCACCATCGGCTTTAGCAATTCAACCACGATCAGGCTGCAGTACAACCACCCTAACTCTCGAAATCTTGTCATCATCACCGCAATCGCCACCACGAGTAGAACTATTATCACACAACCCAACTGCACCATCACCACAATCTCTCTAGTCCGCCTATCCTCCCCACCATTACTTCTCCCGAACATATCTTCTATCAGAACCACCAAACGATTTCTAAAGCTGCCACTATCTCAACTTACAGCTGGTTGTGAGTGATGGTGAGGGTGGTGGTGGTGATACTGCTGCACCATCATCTGTACCTAAACCATCCAAAAAAGCATCGCCTGAACCATCACAAACACTGTCACCATCTAAATGCCCGACACCACCGCCATCACCATCATGATGAACTGGTTAGCAAACAGCACACGAAATAACGACAAAGGCAATACTGTCCACATCACCACCAATGAATTCACAAGTAGGAGGAGCACCACCGCCTTCGTCACCATCACTGCAACTACCATCACCAGGAGTACTACTAACCGCTTTAAAACCAGATATTTTTGGTTGGAAATTTGATAGAGGGTGCGTTGTTCTCAACGTGCGGCCAGCAAGCTAAATTTAGTTTCAGGACACCGACGATAAAAAAGGATCGAATTCTAGTAATCAACTTACCTTGACAAGGAGCATGTTTCGGGGTCCTTTATGACCTGCTTGTAAACCGCACATGTATCGGATGAGACGGGTCTTACCACAACCAGTTTCACCCATCACGATCACGGGGATGTTGCATCTGTTAATAGTGTTGAAATAGGGTTGGAGTTTGAACTCACCTTCGTCGCAAAAACAATTATATAAGACCAAAACATCAGGTTGCCATTTACCTAAATCTCATATGAATAGCGAGAATTTTCTTGACATTATCTGTAGTTAGTTCATAGGCTTTGTCTGGATCGTGCTCCTGCTTTACTCCCAACACGGAACATAACTGTCTAATCTTGTCCTCTCTAAAACAGAATTTACTCAGAGTAAATATATTGCGCAAAACTCGACATAATGGAACAAATTATCACACATGAACTTGACTTTTGACAAAATTTTCACCTGTTTTTTCCCACCATGGGGTGCTCCAAAGCCATTATAAATCCATCCCCCCTCTTAATGTCATATGCTTATAATCTCCCTTTCCATAATTTTTCAATCTAACCAAATAATCCGTAAGAAATAATAATTACTTCCACAACGCACGTAAAATATTTCAACATTCAGTAGTCTTAAATGTTGACTTCTATATGAAGCAGGTTAATATTGAGTAGACTGTGCAGAAGATAGAGGGCTTGTTTTGTCTGTTACTTACTTCTTTGAAGTCTCTATGTTTGTGGCAAAATCGACAAGTTGAGCCTGGAGTCCATTTCGTAATTGTTTGGACATTAAACCCTTTTCCAAAGTTTGTCTTGTTTGTGGGTCAACAAGATCACCAGCGGTATTGATGAAGAAACCAAGAAAGGTCATAGTGATGTGGTCTTGGTTGAAGAAAAGGTATGGATGAGGACTGAATATAGGAAGAAAGAGTTACCACGAAATTCATTGTGAAAAAAAAACATGGAATACAACTCTAGTATTTTATAATGTATATAAAGTGCAAGTTTACACAACGGAAGCGATTGAAGAGTCAACGTGACTTCATGAAGCCTGTCACAAAACAAATTGAAGCGATTACCACGAAAAACATTGAAATACGAATTGTAGTAAAAAATAAAAAATAAAGAAATAACAATGTGGCTCTTACCTGCTTTCCCAACGTCTCCTGAGTTGAAACTGTTCGATCTCTCTTCGTTCAAGTTCGGCGTCATCCTCAGCATAAAATACAGTGTTCTCTTCTGTCAAAGATGGGGTAGCGAAATCCTAAACGAAATGGAAACAACTTATCATCCCACTCACTCCCACTGTAAACCCAGAAATGAATGTACTTCAAAACTCGTAAGCTTTATCAAACAAGGTAATATATACATAACATATTCGTATATAATATACATGCATATAATATGTATATAATAATATACAGTAAGTTCCAAGACAACTATTATGATTTGGCCTTTTAAGTACGCACATGATCGTACACATGTGTTATTGCTTTACTCATCCTTGCGTCAATAGAAGTTGGTCGAGGGACAATTTAAGAAACCGCCTTACCCTTGACATTTGTATCATGAAGCGCACAACAAATGAGCGGAAGCCTTTAAGATTCAGCACATTGGGTCCTTCTAAAATTGATCTCATCAGCTGCATGTCACAGTAAAAACTCTGTTCGCAATCTCGGAGCTGTGAGTTCAAAAAACTCACAAAATGACGAATCTCGGACCATGAGGGATCAGGAATACCGCAGTTACTACAAAGGAAACAGTAAGAAGTGACAATGATAGCAGCATTCAAACAATTTTTTTAGCAAAGTTTAACTAGCACAAGATATCTCACCTTTCGTCTTGGTTTGTGCTTCAGATCCCTGAAGCAATGAATCAGGGGACTTCTCTTTTATGACACACCATCTCATATTTTATTTATAATTTCATTAAGTGTATTTCGGGAAAGAATGAGTCGCAAAACAATATTTGTAAACACGGTTTGGGCATCCAATTAGCTACGTGCAACAAACCTTAGAAGGAGCATAAGGCATGTCTTTCGATCCTCATCAACGTTGCCTGGCGAAAACGTGAAATTGTCCAGACTCTTTCCTTCCTTTGACAGTTTCAGATATTGATAAACCCTCTGGAATGGAGCGTTTCGAAACTCTTTGACGTCAAACAAAGGATTACAATCCTGTAAATCTAAAACAAAATTCAAGGAAACTCACTTTACTATCAGCTACTAACTGCTGGCTCAAGGAGAATCTCAGTTCAATACCTGGAGTATCTGCCAAACGGCAGAGAACAGTTCTTGGAGTTTTACACTCAATGGTTGGTAGCAGATCATAAAATGATCGCTTAGACATAGTGCATTTTCCAGGTTGTCTCTGAAAATCAAAAGAGTCGAATGCATCACAAGCATAGACAATGAAGGAAACGATTTACTATGAATAAAGCGACAGATATCTAATTCACTTCTCGAACTCTTCAACTATCAACGTTCCAACCCCTGAGCTTCCAGACTCCATGTTCTGGGAGCACTCGCTTTCCACTATTGGAATGGCCTACCTATGGAGCTTCGTCAAGTAACATCACTTCAAAGTTTTAAATCTCGACTTAAAACCTATCTTTTTGAGAAGTATTTTTATAGTCTGTAACTTAGTTCATTTTATTCTCACAGTAATGTATTTTCGCTTTCTCTTAAACATATGATTGTAAAGCGCTTTTGACCAGCATATGTAAATACGCGCTATATAAATTGGTAAATTATTATAATTATTATTGGGGCACAGGTTTGATTCCCATGGGTAACCCCTTTTGTTCGTTCTGTAACCTCCTTCCACAAAACTCGGCAATTGAAATTCAAATTCACCAACAAAACAATGGACGAAGAACCTCTCTCTATATATGTTACTGCATTACTCTGTTGATTCATTATTCATAGATGACATTCACACTCTCTCCAACTTTTTCACTCACCCCTTGACTTTGAGCTGCTTCCTCTCTTGTGAGACCCATGGGTAGGGGAGCAGTGGTCGTAATCTCAATAATGTACAAATCTGTTCTTCGTCTCCTCCACACTCTCCCCATCTTGTCACAAAGATAGCCAAGGACGAGAAGGTTAAAAATAAGGGTGTCCAGACCGCGTCTCATCTGAAAGAACCACATAACATTTTATCAAATGTTGAGATAAATAAGTTAAATTTGTGTTCATATGCAACTCAGCATAAGATAATGTCAGAAGCCCGCAAAAAGTTAATAAAATTGAATTTTACTGTTGGTGTTTCCCTGGACGCGCAAATTTCCTTTGAGTACCGTTCGTTCAAGATCGCATTGACAGTACTTGAACAAAAACAATGTTAATCTAGCCCTTTGACGTGACTGAAGCCACGTTCTGGTAGCACATTTCACAATTATTGGCCATAGTAAACATTGAGTCAAGTTTAAACTCGCATGAGTTTAGTGCCTTACCGAAGGTGACACGTCCAGATGAAATATACGGGACAGCGGTACATTTGCCTTTACTGCATGCGGAAGGAGCGCATCTACAAGCATCGACGAGTCTGTGGAATTCCCATGAAGAGGTACGGTAACATGCAAGAACGTTTTACAGTCTTGTCTTCGCAAATTTGTCATAACCATGTCGTTGTTTACGAGGTTAGGAAGCTGTTCTGTTAAGCGACGAACAAAGAGAGTCTTTCCCAAACCTCCACGGGGTGATGAGACAACTCGAACGGAGAGTCTGAAAGAAATCCACCACATGTTAACTGCACCACTCCTCATCGAAAGAAGACCGCTATATCGAACCATATTGCTCAGACAGTATAACAGAATTTCTGTTTCGAAAATCTTCCATTAAAGGAACAGAAACTTCAGTCCAGTTTGAACAAAACACTACTACACACTTTGCTACCGTCACTTGCATTGAAAGGAAAACTTTTTCCTAGACATTTTCCTATCCCCAAGGGTATCTCCCGAATGGAGGCTCTCCTGTCACAATTTCTAGAAACATCAGCGAGAACTTACTTTTCTGGGTCTAAGGATCCTGCTGTTGTCCAAGTAATCTTACTACCACCTACGTATCCGTCCTGAGAAGGAGGTGCGTGGAACTGATCCTTGAGGTAAATTTTCAGGTCATCTGGCGAAGGACAAGGTGGAGCAGCAACACGATACTGATCAAGAGCTGCTACTACGTTGGAACGATCTTCATTCTCGCAACTGCAGATTATCACCAGGCCATAATCTGAGAAGTAACAAAACGCACCGACCATTGTAATTGTAATCAATAAACTTGGCCTTCCGATGAAAAACATGTCATTTAACTCAAGTCAAACTCACGTTCTCCAGCCTTGCCAGCAAGTCCCCGTGTCACTACACCAAGTATTTCCACTGCTTGCTTACTGACTGAAAAATCCAACACATCTGCATGTACGAGACAGTAAAATCGGCCCTCCATGTCCCCTACTGCACGTCTCCATAGCAACTCGATCTACGTCAAAGGAAAACAGAAAGTTGTAAAAAATGTGTGATGGTTGAGCCACTTTGCTGCGGACACCGACTCAGTGGTATTTCATTCATAAGCAGGCTATTCTCCTACCTTCTTCAATCTCTTAGAATTATAATCAGGAAGTGGTGTTTTAAGCAACCACGCTCCTCGACTCATTTTACAATTTACGGTATAAAATATTAGTTTATATCAGTAAAAACCTTACGAAAGGAACACTGTACCTCTTCTGTGGTGGTGTCAGGAGTGCAAAGGAGCACCTCTTCATGGCTTGGCAACGGCTGCGTTTTGTCATGCATGTAAAGGGCGAGGACTGTAGCAAGGATGTCATCTACAACAACAAAAAGAACAAATCATAGCATGGAGCATAGAAAACTTGCAGTCATGTAAAGTTTACATTATGGGGAATACATGGCAGCAGTACAAAATGATATTAGTTATTGGAACTATAAAACATTGTACCGTAGCGATCTGATTAGGTTTTCCCTGGGTCCCTGTTCGACTTACCTTTAGGAACAAGTATGAGGTTGGGTCTTCCCCTTCTAAAAAATGCCGGGAAGGTGCGAGCTGTCGCCCCAATTCCTAAAATGTGAAAATAACATCATGTTCATGGTCCAGTAAAAAGAAATAATTTTGATATCATAATTGTAGATTTTTTATTCATCTCAGCACAGGTTGCCTGAATACAAGTAAGTGTATTACCAAGAACTGAGAGTTCTCTAAGGATGTTTCCAAGCTGGAGGAGTGTAAGATATTGACTGATCTTTGTTTCGTTATCTTCGTCTTTGCTAACCACCTGCGTTGAAACAATGGTTTCCGTAGGCGTGGATGACATCTCCAGTACCAGGTCTGAGTTGCTTTCGTTTTCACTAAAGCAAGTGACAAATAATACAAACTCAGTTCTTATTGTTGCTTTCATATCTTATCTCGAAAACCATCAAGTTCACACTGTCACCATGTAAGCTTTTTGAAAACTTAAAAGTTGCCATTGATTTTCTCGTTGGAATAAGTAAAAGTACTCCAACTTGAAAACCAATTGCAACTTTAAGTCGAGGAGAAGCATCCTACGCATACAGTGACATTAGCTCTTTTTGTTAAAAGTTAACATTGTCAAGTGATTGTGATTAAACACTTCGGATACAATTAGTCTACAATGATGCTCCTTATTACGCCCAAGTTAATATTATTGGTATTACTAACATACCGGAAATCCTCGGCGGGCGCATCCTGATCAGTAGACTCTACCTCCTCTGGGAAGACTTCTCGAGCAATCATGGGATTTCGCTTCGCATCTTCGTAAAGGGCCTCGATGTCAGCCTCGTCGGCTTCTTCTAGACACCACAACAGTAAGTCGTCTTCTTCTGCATCAACACCCAGACTCACCAAAGCAGCCAACGCGATCTGATCAGAATAACCATCATCGGCAGCTGCATTCAAGAAACTTTGAATCTTCGACGTTTCCTTTGGCTTTGGTTTCTTGACAGATGCAGGTTGTATTTGACACGTTCTGGTTTCTGTTGAGGAACTCGTACCCAAGTAGTTGTTGTTGTTAAACATTGACCTGCGTTTCACCATTTCGTCTTCTGGAGGAACATGAGTGACCGAAGGCAGCTCTGCTGCACCTCTGGGGTTCTCGAGTAAATCTGTGTCCTTAAAAGCACGCTCTATTGCTGATTTTAAGTGTTCGCTTGTGAAACTGGGACGAACGCTTTCTAGCAAAGTGAGTACTTGAATGTTGCTCGGGGCGAGGCCGTTGCTGCGGCAAACCGTGGCGATTTCTTTCCTCAGTGTCATTAGTTGCTGTGTTGTGAAGAAGTTCAATTCTCTATACTCCTTCCTTGCATCGCTGACTTTCTTCTTCCACTTCATGTAACATGTTTCCATGAATGTGCTTTCCTCTTCTAGTTCCTTCGCGATACATTCGCCCGCGACTTGGTCTTTCCTACAGTGAAATTCTTGGTTCCAGTTCATGCGATTAATGTAACCAGATTCAAAGAGGTCGATGTATGCAGTCGCTAAACGCATGACACCTTCAAGATTCTGTAATTAGATAAACCTGTCTTAGTCTGTCGGTAGTTATGTTGCAGTTCAATTTTATACTTGGTTCAAATTCTATTTTCCTTTGTTCTCGTTCATGTTAATGTATGATAATGAGTTTGAAACAAAGGAAAATAAAATTTGAACCAAGGATAAAATTGAACTGTAATAGTTACAACATTTAGTGACAAAATCATTATATTTTCACTTACCCTCACAAACTGCTCCACGTCATCCTTCCCTTTTTCAGCCTTTCCTGCAATCAACATCAGTTTACTTTGCAAATCCTTTAGTTCGTCGATAGAGTAAGTTTTCCGCTGGTCTTTTTCACTTCCATCCTTAAGGGGAACCGTCAGTCGGATCACATCTTTGAATGACAGTCGTTTTCCGTGTTCTGGTGACGGATCCTTTGTGGTATCCAAATAACCCACAACATACACACCACTGGAGTTGATCGTCTTAGCCTGCACTAACGACGTCATAGCAACCGAACCATGAGACTCTTTGACAGTTTTTAGCCAGTCCAGATGTCTGCTGGTGTCGCACTAAGAGAAATAGAGAAGTCGGGGATCAATCACGTATTTGGTCCCACTAGTCAAATTCCTTTACGTGCAATAGTGTACGTGTTAAATCAATACAATTTTAAGACTGATCCAAACCTATATCATGCTTGCTAAAGGGGAACGTCTCTAAAGGTGGTAGTTTGTAAGGAAATGGCCGTAAGCCCAACCACAATTGATATTTGGTTGTTGGATGGACGCTTTCAGGATGGGAACTTCAGTACCAGGTCTCGGTTTTCACATGACCTCATCGAAATCAAAGTAAAAGGAATCAAAAACCTTATGAGATTTTACAAATTTTCACGAATTTTCAGTTTGATAGGGTTTTTCATCTTGTGATAAAGCAAGATTGAGTTTCTAAGCTTTTGCGTGACACGATATCAAAATGCTTTTACATATGTTAAAAGTGACTCATCTGCTCAGATTTCCCAATCTGAAAAGATCTTTTATGAGAATAATTAGTCATATAGATGTGTATGAACCCTCAGAAGACGATTACAGGCTTTTTATAGCAAAACTCGATGACATATGATGTTGCTAGTTTCCGGCCGCTCACTTATGTTTGCGTCCCCCTAAGAGGGATACAAACATGGCGTCTCCATAAAAAGCCTTCCAAATTTGGGTAAAATATTTCTTCGAATATCCGCATCACGAAACATCGCACGGACCTGAATCCGTTTGAATATTCATCTTAACTTTATTTTTGGAATGGTTTTGATGATGGTATAACAGTGAAAACTGGCAACATGCATACAACCTAAAACACAATTTCATGTGTGCAAAAAAGGTAAAGGTGTTCCAAAGGGGGTGAGACATGTTCTGCCAACTTTTAAAGAGGAGAAGGTAAACAAGATGTTAAGTGGGAAAACATTTGAACGGTTTCATTTTGTAATTCCGGTATTTGTACCAGTTTTCTGGGTAACATCTGATCCGTCTCGACTGCTTTCCATACAGGATCACAGGCGTTCATCAGTTGATCAAAGTTCACTCTTTGTTCTTCACTCTCTTTGAGGTCAAATATCAGAGGAGCAAAGCCTAAGCAGCTGGTATGCAGACTGGATATGCAGTCAGTTTCCATGTCGCTTTCACCAGCAGAGATCAAGGCCAAGTCAACAAGAACCTTTAGCTCTTGGGTGGCTGTAAAACGAAGGATACGTAACGGTGTTCATTACTTTCTCAGATCGACGCTCAAGTTAGTAATTCTTCTAATATGTATCATACAAACGAAAAGCAATATCCTCTTGTGTGTAACACATAAATTTCTGCGAATATTAGGCAAGCTGACGAAAGCAGCGGGACAACGTGCGAGATTGACTGGCTTATGGCATCGAGGGATAGTAATAATTCGTCTGGTAATTTCGTTTCAAACTCTACATCTTTTTTTTTCATTTCTTTTATTTCAATTGTTGTTATCAAATTATTATTGTAGTTAGATAGATAGGTTTCTAGTATAGAATTAACTAAATCAACTGATGGAAAAACCGTGTATAAATAAAGTTATCCTATCCTTGTCCTATCCTATCCTATCCGCGTACCTCCCCCCCCCCAACCTGCATGCCTCAACTTACATTTGATAGTAGAACGTAACCACTCCACCAGCCGTTTACTGTCTACCACCGCTTTAAAGCACTGAGCCTTATTAAAGTCCAAACACTGAAGAGCTTGACCGGCCTTTGAAAAGCTTTCCCCAATGCTGTGCAAGGGCTTTTTCTTGAATTCTACTGATAGCTTTATAGCAAAAGAAGTGGAAAATAAAGCAAACTTTCATTACATGTAATTCGTAAACTGTAATTCAGTTTGAATCAGATGCACTTCTCGTTTTAAGTGGTCGATGGCTTTCCATTGTGCAGGATGTCTCGACACGAAAGTGTACCTTAGGATTCACAGAAATTTTTTCCTTAAATCAAACTTCAAGACTAGCAGTTTCAGCGCCTGAAGACGACATCGCGTTCTTCATAGGCACTGACCAAATCGTCAGACGAAGGACTATAGTTCACTGCGAATGTATTCACCACGATGAATAACTACATCCTATTCTATGCCAGATATTCCGTGTTTCTTACCCAACTTACTCAGTATCATCAATGCATAATAAGGACTGTGATACCTGATCACGCAGATCTTCAACAACTTTAAAGTCCCCGGTAAAACCCATAGCCTCCTTAAACTCCCAGATAGTGTCTGCTGCATTAGAGTACTGATCAAGGTGCTGGTAACGTTGAATTTGAGCAACTCGCTCTTCGACAGTTTTCTTTAATCCTTTGGTGTTTGTGACTGTTTGTCCTGTGTTCACTTTAAGCATAAAGGATAACTCTCCTTCGAGTTCCTTTTTGCGATTTTTATAGCCGTCAAAGAGCTTGTCGACACCTCCAAGAGAAATTGTTCCATCTTTGACGCTAGCAACATTTTGGGTCCAACGTTCAAAAGCTGGTTTCCAAACTTTTTCAATGACATCAGAAAGATTAAGGTGTGGTTTTTTCCCCTCGTCATTCTTTCTAGCAGTTTGGGCTTTGTTTTCATATTTTGTCCAAAGGGTTTGGAACGTCAAACTTTCTCTAACTCTTCCAAGGATCGGGAGAACCTCCTTTACGGCTGCGGGTAGTTGGAAGAAGGTGACTTCGATTTTGTTGTCCTCTAAGCGTTTGCACAAATCGCGAATCTTGTATGATGTGACATCCAGCTGCGCTCTACTTCTAAGGTGGCTTAAGTCGACTGTGGAGAAAATTATCATTTCATTAGTTGCTCTATTCTTTCTCATTTCGAAGGTGCTTTGTTTTTGACATGGAATCATAGAACGAAGGTCAAATTAAGCTAGGCAAAAGCAAAGTATATAGATCTAGACAAGATTTTGAAAATATATTTTTGGTAGTTCGCGATGAAAAACTTTTTCCAATCAAATGTCGACCGAACCTATGGATAATTCCAATCGCTACTCGTAACTGGAAAATGGATTGAAACCCCAACAAAGACGACAAGTTGGCCTTCTTTTGGCAAAGTTACCCTACCTGAAGCGAGAACGAGAAAGTGATTGAAATAACATTCACCGTAAACACCGTTCCTTGCCGCTAAACTTAACTAAAAACTAAATATATCGCATCAGCATAAACGTTAACTTTCTCTTGAGATGCACAAGGGATTTAAAATAATACAAATGCGAAATTGCAGGACGGAAGGAAAGGTACTTAGTATATCATGAGAAATGTGAAAGTAATAATAAGAGCAACACACGACTGGCTGTTAAAGGATTGAAAAACAATTTCCCTTCGGAGCTCACCTGGCGGGACCACATCACACAATGCAATAAATCTCCCCACATTTTCCCGTACTGTGCGAAATTCCTTAATTTCTTCAATTCGATGGGCCAAGCTAAGCGTAGCATCGTTCTTCTCTACACCGGAGGTTGTCTTCAAAAGCTCTAAAAACGTTGTTTCATGCTTCTGGACAAGAAGTAAAATCTCGACCGTCACTGAGCCGTCTGACATAACTCTTACAAGAGCGTCCAATAACAACTTAGCCTGAGACAACCTCTCCTGACCAGCGATTGAAAGTATGTCACGTCTTCCAGACTCATTTCCTGTTGATTGAAACAATAAATTACAATCTATAAATAACGAGCTGTTAAATGTGTGAACTGAAAATAAAAATTAAAATTGGGGAATAACACTCAATATAGATCCTTGGATATCCCCCAGTATTAGTTGGGGGATATTCGGTCACCTGGTACGTTTTGACCAATCGCGCGCGAGCAAGAATATTCTTCGGATTATAACCTAGGATATTCCCCAGTTTTAGCTGGGGAGTATTCGGTCACGTGATGCGATAAGATGATGCGTTGGGATGTGTTAATCACGCGCGAACAAAAATATTTAATGGATCATAGTTGCCAGCATACCCAACGAAAACAGAAAAATCTTCCCGTCCTGTGAAATGGCGCTACACGAGACTTATTCCCAGATTTTAAAATTTGGTAAAGGCCATTGGTTGAAAGGAATCGAAGAAAACACTTTGAACGCCAAAACTAACGACAACGATCTCATCTTTCTAACATTATCAAATTTTCTATTTAAAATCAGTTTGACTGAGTGGTTGCTCCCTTCTAAGCCTTTACTATTTGCGATCTCAGGTTTCATTTGATAGTTATTGCTAAGTTTAAGCGCCTTAAGCACTTTCTGTAAACTTTCACGAGGACTCTGAAAGTTCTTATCCAAGCTGAGAAACAAATTTGGTTGAATGAAAACAGTGTATCGCTGGCCGGTAGTTCATTCAGTTCCGGTACTTTGACCGGTGCATCGCACTTTTCAATGGCTTTCATGAGCATCAGCGACTCGATCACAAAAATAAGCTTTAATTTATCATGATATCTAACAAATTATAATTATGTCATAAAAGCAATAAACCACACTTGGGACTCCTGGTTTACAAACGTTTCTCGTGTTCTCTCGACACCTTGCATGGTTTGTCAGCTGATAAACGGATAGAAAGTGCGGTTTATTGCTGAACAAAGTTATAAATGTGACAGATATAATCTGAGGTTACCAAAGAATTTGAGGAATCCACTCATTGGTTTCCAGGTCAGAAGAAATTGAACAGTCTGACGATCCAAAAACGACGTGTGTGTTTGTTTTCCTTCCTTTGGCCAGGACTTCGTGAGAAACATCGACAAAAGTTCGCCATATTTTCCTGCTTTTGAGTGTGTATCCGGTTGATTACATTTATTTTTAATCACGTAAAATACTCGCTCGTCTACTCCTACTTTTGCTGACTGAAAAAAAAAGAAAGGTATTATTTTCTGTTGCAGACTTAGCCAACTTAGCTCTTTTTTTTTTGTGTGGAAATATTTAAGACAAGTTGTGTATGAAATAAGTTATTCTAATATAACCAGCAACAATATTCTACTGACCACGTTTTTCAGTAAAATGATACAATTTACTGCCTTTAACTGAAAACACGCCCACGCTTTCGGAAGCGTCTCTTTGTTCATTTGTTTAATCGATAGTCTCTGTGTTAGTTGGTGGCTTGATTTGTTTGTTCGTTTGTTTTGCAGTTTCTGATTACCGAAGAAACTACGCAACCACAGGCCTTTAAAGAAAAAAAGCAACTCACTACAGGAAAAACAGACCTTGATATCTTTTATCCTAGAGAAAATGTTAAAATTAAGGCCAAAGGGAAGAAAAGAAATCCGAATTTTCCATTAGAAGAGAAGGTTCAGAACTTGACACCATGTAAAACTTAACTAACAACTCACGTTAATAATCCTTTCCACGGCCTCAAATGCGAGGTTGGTGAACAATTCTCCAACACCTTTTTCAAAAGCATCCATGTCCACTTCACAAAAAATTTCAACGAGGTACTTTTCCTCCAACTGAAAACAATGAGCAGTCCACGAGTTTTTAGAATATAGCAGTTCTTCAAAGAAACCTATACTCACATAAATTCACTAACTCTTTAATGAAAAAAGTCCGAAGTACTACAACGTAAAATGCGTTTCGACTTCTTTCGACTGCGTTCAATCCTACTCAAAGGTCACTTTTCAGCACCACGAGAGTTTCCACCCAACTTACCCGACTTGCTCGACTGGACAATTCATCAATCAAGAATTCTCGATAAGTGGTGAAGCCTTGATTTTCATCTGCAACTAAAAGTAGCTCACTCCACAACTAAGAGAAAGAAAAAAATTGAACGCATTGGTCATCGTTGCTGTACGAAGACAATTGAGTCGAGGCGTAGCATAAATTTATTATTATATGACTACTTCATATTTCTCTCTACAGAAAGATTCCAATTGGAGTGGTTAGTACAATTTGAATACCGAAGGTCAGACCAGACCAGTGATAGGCCTTATATTATAACAATTAATTAATCTAAGGGTTAAAAGATACTCAAACATCTTTAAAATTGCTGGTATAATGCAGCTCAAAGATCAGCGAACCAAAAATATACGCGAAAAACTAGCACAAGACTTATGACCAAGCGCAGACTAGTCTTTAAATACGAACCAAAAGCGTCTAATAGTAGACCCGTCTACCTAATAAATTTTATAGGGGAGGACGACGCCCCGACTAAGTACAAGTTATGCTGACGATGTCCTTATTGACTGAGTGGGAGGGCCGGACAAGAAAATTTTTGACTCAAGGCTACGACTTACGGGCCGAGCGCTGCGAGGTCTGTGCCTCCTGACCGAGAGCCAAATATTTTCCGTCCGGCTCGACCAAACTCAGTCAAAATGCATTTTATCATATGACCAGAAAGTGCTGTAAATTTCAACCTACATAGGTAGCGATAGACAGAAACGCAGTCACACGAGCACAAAAGATTCAGCAATTAAAACTTTAATTTTATTTTTCCAGTCTGAACAAGAAACTCCCATTCCTTGTAAAACGCGATTTCTTTAACTCATTTCAGTTTTCCTTCAAGTTTGGTAACAAAGCGAAGTAACGGCAGCGGGGTAGGAATGCTTCTTCCGGACCGGCTCACGCCAACCCGTCCAGCCCCGCACAAGTCAGCTTTTACTATGGTTTTCTACGGCCGAATGGGTCATATGATAAAAAAAAATTTCCTCCCCTGCTACTCAGTGACGTTTTGCCACCTCAGTCAGTGTCTTTGCCACTTCATGGACATGCATGCATGCATTCAAGGTGTATTTAAGAGCCACTGACCGTAAATATCGAGGATCCGCCGACAGTTGCAAAATTTTGTAATTCAGTTTATTTTTATAAAGGACCCTTTTAATGAACTTTTTCGAAAGTTATACCAAACTTCTATCGCGCTTTTTTTACTACGAAAAATCGAAAAGTTCCAAAATACGCCTAAATGGCCGTTGTGCCCCCCGTAAAGCAATGAAAAATTATGCAACTTGAGCAACTTCGTATGCTACAACGCGAAGCAATCCCGCTCTTAAATTTTGTGTGCTAGCAGATGGTCCTTTAATCTCTTGGAAAATTCTAATTTGTTGTTACGTTTAAGTCTGAAGAGGGACCAGTTAAAATAAGGTACTTCGCGTCTCTTTCGCGGAGGTAAAAGAAAGGTCAACTTCAGTGGCCTATGAACAGGTCTGCCATTTATACTTAAAAATCATAATAGACACCATCTCAAAGCTTTATTCTTGTCTTTGAATTCCTCCCATTCTCTATCTTGGTCCGCCATAAGCGGCACGTCCAGGTTTAGAAGAGTTTGGGCCATTTTGTCAAAATTGCAATGCGAACCGTTGAACAGCTGTCACGACCCATTTAAAGGCTTTAAAAAGGTCTTGTATGATATATTTACAAACCAAAATATATGTCCTTAAAGTTTCTTTCTTGGCCCGCAATAGGCGGCGCGTCCAGCTTTCAAAGAGTTCGGGCTAAAAAATGACAAAAAATGTAATGCGATCCGTTGAACCGCTGTCACGCAAGAGGTCAAGGCCATACTTTCAGCTTGGCCAGGAATGTACCAAATACATGACACTTTCCAAGAGATAAAAGTACCATCTGCTAGCACAAAAAAGTTAAAAGCGGGATTGCTTCGCGTTGTAGCGTACGAAGTTGCTCAAGTTACATAATTTTTCATTGCTTTAAGGGAGTGACAACGGCCATTTAGGCGTGTCTTGAACTTTTCGATTTTTCGAAGTAAAAAAAGCGCGATAGAACTTTGTGATATAATTTTCGAAAAAAGTTCATTAAACGGGTCCTTTAGAAAAAATAAAGTTAGTTACGAAATTTTTCAACTGTCGGCGGATCCTCGATGTTTATGGTCAGTGGCTCTTAAATACACCTTGAAGGCATGTTCATGAAGTGGCAAAGAGATTGACTGAGATCGAAGCAAAGCATCACTGAGTAGCAGGGGAGGAAATGTTTTTATCATATGACAGTGGCTCTTAATGATCATTGTAATCTAGTCCCAGGTGTCCTCCATGCAGGTTGATATTGTCATAATTCCATCTTGAGCGACAGTTGCCCACTACTTACTTTTATTTTTTCAAAACCGATATTCTACGATTTTTTTTTTCAACATTCAAGAAGTTACAAGTACTAAAAAGTAAATTCAAAATATTCCGCGTCAATCGCGCTTTAGCTGCAAATCAAAATCGGCTACAAAGTCGTCTTAAGTCGTTTAAAACAATATAAGGCATAAGATTACCTGTACCTAGCGACCTCAGAATGGAACTTTTAACAAAATCAGATCTTATATTTGTTTCTCCATTGCATTTCCTTAAGTTTTCACATACCAAGAGTTCATTAACCAGAGCATCGCCTCCGTCATAGTAGGGCATGTCGGGAGACAGATCACTTCTCAGCCTTGTTCTGAGGCTTGTTAATAGTGCTTTGATGGCGTTGTTCTCGTTTTCCTGTCTTCTATCCTGATCCACACTCTCATCAACTTCTCGTCTCTGTCTGCAGATGCTTGCAAGTAGCAGCTTTATCACTTGGCAGATGAAATCCAGGTTATCACGAACGGTCCATTTTTTAAGACAAGTTTCCACCAGCCGTGTACACATTGAAATTGTAAACCCGAGAGTGTTCGAGTTAATGCTACAAAAAGAAATAAAAAAGAAAAAATCAAATTTGTTATTCACCAAGATGAACTTGAATTGTTTGTTTTGGACTATTTTCTATCGTCCATCGACGGGCCAATATTAAGTTTGGCCTCGTTTGAAGTCAAGATTCCGAGCAGAATAATAGCGTGGGAAGCCAATAAACAGATAGGAGAGGTAGAAAGCTAATTTCATAGCACACAAAAGAAAATGAATCGGGTTCGCCAGAGATAGTACTACAACGTTTTTACGTTACAAACTTGTTACCAACCAAGTTGATTCCTGGACCGCCTCTAGCTGAGAACACATTTGTTTTACACAACGCATAACGTCCTTCCGCTGTGGATTGGAAATTGCCATAAGTGACTCATCTCAATAAAACGCATATCAAACCAATTCGTATTAAAATAGAGATTTGATTGGGGAAAGAAAACAAAGGATGATTTTAGTTTTCCACGTATGTGATGTAAAACTTTCTCAATCACAGAATTCGATTGACACAAGCTAACCAGTCTACGTGTTAATATCCCGGATGGTTAGATAAGATAAGATAAGATAATGAATTTATCTTAAGAGGGTAGCAGGTAACAGAACTTTTGTTCCAGTTGACACCTAACCCTTTTTTTACCCACTCATTCCACCCCGGGGAGGACATCCATCACACAGTAATCTCGTGCGTGGGAAATTAACGTCTCCTGCCCCTAAACCCTGCAGGAGACGGGACCTCCATTTAATCGTCCTTATCCGAGAATAGAATATCAAAACATTTCTTGATGTTATAGAAGGGTAGAAAATTCTTCTCAGTCATCTAAAGACCCTGAGTGTTGCTCCGGCTGGGACTCGAACCCTCGATATCCCGCACAACAGTCCAGCGCTCTATCCATTGAGCTAACCGGGAGGCGGTTCAATTATGTTCAATCATGTTCAATTATGTTCAATTATGTTAAAAAATAGTTCAGTTATTTTGATTGTTATTCATAAAGATGTTTTCGTGGGACAAGGAAATAAATTCTGAGTTAATGAGGAATCAAACCTCAGACTGAAGGGGAGCCGGAAGCTCTAATACTCTACCGCTGAGATAGAGAAACTGTTTGATGAGTTAGGCCATCGCTACATTCATACGCGACATGCGTCCAGAATACTGTTTGGATCAGCAATATGTTACTTCAGTTACGTGACTCAACTGTTTTCAAAAGGATAACTCCAATCAGTGGAGGCTCGTGCTGGCCCCAAAAAGTCTCCTGAACGCTACGGATTTTCATTGACAATGTAATGCATTATGAGTTAAAAATAGTCTAAATAGAACCCTTACCTTATCAGCAGGCACATCATCACGGGAACAGAATGTAACTATGGCAACGCAAACATCACAAATGTTGAATTCTTTTGACGTAACAATACTGTCTAATTCCCAAATAGGAATGGCGTCGAGGAAAGTTCTCTTGAGCAGAGGGTCAACGTCAAAGGATGGAGTTAGTCGAAGTAATACATCCGGAAAATTTCTACACCAAAAATGGAGAGAAACTATCACAGACTCATCCATGCTACCCTACTTTGCAATACTTCATACATCGTTGAAAAAACAGAAAAGTGACCAATAACAGACTGTATTAGAGATGAAAGTATACAGACTGATTTAAGCAACTTAATTGCCATTGGATTGTTTTCATAAATAATTTGGTAACTTAGTACATTGCTGTTGCTGATCTTTGAAACTCTTTTATTTTCAGGTTCTGCGCTCCAAACCACTCTGGTCTGTGGTAAGATCCTTCAACATCAGGCTCTTCGCATGGCTTTGAATCTCCTCTCAAGAAATGGAGTAGTGGCACGGCTAACAGCCAATCCTCTTTAACTGGCTCCCATGCGGGTGTCATGATTTCATTGCAAAGTTCCTCAATCCCATCAGCAGCATGTCTAAATCGAACAGGAACAACAAAAAGGAATTTTTTTTAATCAAGCAATATTTCTATAGGCAACACATGATTTCGGATTCCATTTGGAAGAAATAAACACAAGAAATTGAAAATCGACAAAACAGAAAGAACTCGTACGGTTTACGTAACTGGTGGTAAAAAGTTAACGAGTGCTTATTCACTCCAAATTGCACGAAAAAAATCATGTGATTACATATTTCTAATAAACATGAAGGATAAATTTGATACCTCCTCACTATCATACAAAGCGGGTATATCAAATCTGTATATAAGCTATATTCAATTACTTACTTTCTTAGGCCCTCACTAAACTCTTCTAGAACGACTTCATACGTGGCACATTTTTTCTCCGTGGGATCTGCTTCAAGCGACAAACAACTTAAAAGTGTGAGTTTGTGTTTCCTTGGAAGGTATAGTTTGTATTTCTCGACAAGTATGACAATTGCCAGAGATGAAACCAACGCTGAAGCTTTGGTTTCCAAACGCACTCCACTCTGGGACAGTATATCAGCGTTTTCCTTGAATTTAGGTTCCAAGAGGTCCATGAAAACCTTAACAAAATGTTCAAAAAAATATTTTTTCTTCATTGTCATCAATGCAAGGACATACAGTCGAACCGCGACCGCAACCGCGACCGCTTAATAGAGATAAAAATTACAATGATGAAGGGGAAACATATTCGAGACTTGGACAACCGACCAATTAACACAGGGCGGCGACCACTCCTTACGGGGTCGCTTAAAACGGGTTCAACTCTAGTTCTTTCTTCTGAAAATAACAAATTAAATGCCAATGACTTGAAACAGTTCTGAAATAATCTCGGAATCCAAGTTAATTTAACAAACACCCTGATCAACTACTCGATTGTAAAAACGATGACACTTAAAAATACCATGAATGATGAGACCGACTAGCCTTTTAGGTATACAATTAAGCGATAAGCCCAGGAGTGTGCGGAAAAAGATGGATGCTATCCAATTTTTCTTGAAAAAAAAAAAAAAGAAAAGGATTACCATACGAAAGACTTGACATAAAAAAATAGAAAAGTATAAATTCAGATTGTATATGTACACTACAGACACTGATTACTAACAATGAAACTCCCGGGTTCATCGTTTGTGGTTTATACTTTTTCAAGCGTCAAAGTTTATACAATTGATTGTAAACCGCAAGATAACGAAGTTAGAACTTTGAATTTCAATTACTTTACCTTCTTAATATCGAAGTTTGCTGGCTGCTTCTTTTCAGGCGGTGAGTCGCTCTCCTTAACCCAAGAGTTGGTCAGACCGTCAACAACTTTCTGTAGCTCCACAAACACCTCTGTTGCTTTCATTTCCTGTCCAGCGCCACCGACAAGAAAACCTTTCCACTTTGGCAAGTAAGTAAGCACGGCTGCTGTGCGATTTCCCACCGTTTCATTACGTATACAATCGTAAACTCGTTCCCACCAGCTCCTCTCACCGTTAATGTAGCACACTCCATCATATTGCTGCCATACCTCTACACAAACAAAAATGACAAATTTTGAATGGAAATCATTTTATTACTGTTATCTTTATTACCATTACATCAAAATGTACAATATGAATACAAAGAAAATTACCCATGCGCATGGGAGGCAAAGCTTCTAATAATTCTCTGCCGTGCGTTCCATAGACCTTTTTTGTTGACTCTTGAGCCTACATGAGTGACGGTCTCTGAAAATACAGGCGGCGGAGCCGCAAAAAAACTGAACAGCAGTGCTTCCACTCCTCGCGGGGCCCACCGCTCCATAATCCAAAAAAATAGCAAGGCCAAGAAAAGATTGATTAATCCATCACTAATACAGAAGGCAGCTATGGAGAGCGGAAGTGGTTTGTTTCGTAAAGAAGTACGGAACAAAGAAGGCCAATTTTGTAAGCTTACCTCCCGGCTTAAGATACTTTTCCGGAATGCGAAGAAAGCGATTGACAATTGCTCCACGATATCTTGGTTCAAACTCAGTCAGATATTCATAGTGAACATCTCCTTTCTTAACCACTGCGTATTTGTAAAAGGTTCCTTTCTTGGCAAGATTGATACTAAGAGCAAATTGACCCTTGAAACGTTTAAGCTTCTTTTTGTCTCTCCGTTCGGCATTCCTTTAAAAAAAAAAAAGAAAAATAACCCACTAAGCTATTTTAGAAAAATAGATAAAACTACAAAAAAAAAACAAAAACAAACAATCAAAGTTAAACGACTGCCCCTGGCTAATTCTACTTAAAACCTTGAAAACACTGCTAGAGAATCTGCCAACTTAGCCTTGTTTACTTAAGATGAGAGAATGTTTAACAGCATATTCAGACAGCTAGGTCTGTTATAAAGCGCAAGCACTTTAGATGCAATAGTTTCTGTGAACTGCATGTCATTGCGGAATGATGGAGAAAAAGACTTACTACGTGTGTTTTATTATATGATGACTGAGGGGTTGCCGCTGGGAATCATTTAAGTCCCAGTCCATGATATGGTTTGACTACTTTCCCCTGTGCTTGCGATAGCTTCCCAAATGGTTCCATTTATTACCAAGTCACTCAACAAGTGATACAAAATCCTTTCATAGAGCAAACATTCACTGGAGTTGCCCTTCAAGCCGCTCTAATGGCGTCGACAGTCTACCTTACAGGGACACAAGTTTTCAAAGAGAACAATCTACTGATGAAATACATGATGTCAAATCGAACTGTTCCTGTCTGAAAGAAAGTTATAAGTTCTTTAAGACGTTACTAAGTCCTCCAGATGCCATCGTGATTACCTTGGTTTTTTTGGTTTACTACGCCCCACCGAAAAGTGCTTCAATCACCAATTCGGCGTAACCCCATAGTATCTCATTTTCTTTGGAACAGGGTAACAAGAACTTAAAATGGCACTTTGGATTATGTAAGATTTACCAATTTTTTAAAAGTTTTGCTGCAGTAGAAAGATGGGGTGAAAGTTCAAGGTCATGGCTGTGTATAGTTTATAGATGAACTTAATATGACGATTCGAAAGAAATTATTAAATAGTATGGAAATATTATGAGAGAAACTTACCCTACACATTCTAGGTCAACGCAGTTTATGTCAAAGTTTCCTAGGTCATCTCCATTGGCCCGTATATGCAAGCATTCCTCTTCCATTTTTATGTTAGACACTAGCAAAACATGGAACACTACAGTAACCCCTAATTCAGGTTCTACTTGCTTCAAGCAAGTTGGCGTGGCTGACCTTTTTGAGAAAAACAAGGCAATAGATTGGTGTTCGCCATTATAAGACTTTTGTTGCGACCATCACGGCTAAGTGCTAACGTCATTAAATAAGCTACTGATGTCCACTTTCTAGAATCTATTTATTCATTTATTCATTCATGCATTTATTTCCTTGTTTTCGGCTTTTTCTGAATCCTTATAGTCATTTATCACGTTAGAGATTTCACCATCCTTTCAAACTTACGTAGAGGGTGGGTTACTAGTTGTGTCGATATTTCCTCCTTTGTTCTTTCCTTTACCACTTCGTTGGGTTAGGTCACTATCTGTTTGCGTTTGACTTTTACCCTTTTGATACCAATGTCCACTCCTTGTTCCAGTAGTCTAGCAAAATTAAAGAAACTTTCATTTGAATTGTTTTCATCGTTTTAATCGTAGACCAATATAAAAATCAAACAAAACTCAACAGTGTTGACTCAACAGTGTTGAACTTTCAATCAAGTAAATGTTGAGTACTTCACTCATGAAATGCATTTGTAAAAAAGAACGACCAAAACTGTATGGTGCTACAAATACAAATCCGACTCCAAAATTTTTTAATTTTAAAGACATGCATGATTATAACACTCGTTTTAATAACAACATTTGTAAACCACAATCAAAGCGTACATGGGGTCAGCATCGGTTTGTTTGTCATTAAGCATATTGTCGACAACAGAAAATAAGGGGACAGAGTGAGAGGCTCCTGGTCCAGGTCTTAAGATTTTTCAGTTCCTCACAAGTTACTGTTAGAGAGTCTCAAGAGCAGTCTGTTTTCTAAGATGTTCGCTAAGGCTACCTTTGATTTACTCTTAATCTAAAGAACTGCTTCCCCGAAACCTATTGACAGTCTCTAAAGAAGAAGTCTATCCGATGAGAATTTCGCAAAAGCTACATGTACTTTCGATCTCATGTTCTGAAACAAGGCAACATAATAAAGGATAGGGCAGACATTGCGGTTTTGTTAGTAAAAACGACTTTGAAAAAGAATGGAAATGATACATGTAGCTCTTGAGTAATAATTCTAGTTCGGGGCTTGGGAATTAAGAATTCCGTTTAACTTAAATGGAAACTAACTTTTAAGTTACAAAAAAATTGGAATATAATTATCCCTCCTAATTCCCGCTCAGTGTCCCCTAATTTTCTCTCAGCGTTGGACAAGCGTTTAAAACTTTTCCCCATAAAAATGTTTCTCCCTTTAATCAAACAAATTATTATCAAATACCTCTGCACTTTCTCTAGAATCATCATTGTTCCTTTTGTCACTTAGAGGATGTTTTACGACAAGTTCTTTCCCCTTGGCGGATGATTGAACCAGAGCAGTGCTTTCAACTTTTTCGTCGTCCATTTTTCCACCTCCACTCTTGGATAGCTGAATCGTTTTTCTTGATATCTTCGAGCCTTTCTTTCCCTGTTCCTAAACCAAATCCAAAATCAACAGTAAAAGCGTTACTAAATATAGATTATCGAACACCTTCCGTCCCAAAAACAGCGATACAGGTATATTTGAAGCCTATCATTGTAGGGAGAAGGGTAGTAGTGAGAGCAAAACACTTTCTCTAGATCTGGCCACACAATTTTATCAAGCATCGGCAACCGCAAAAAGCAGTCTAATAAGCCGAAAAGTTGTCATTCTTGCAAATATGAAAGCGTTTTACTTCATCGCTATGCTACCTTCTGGTTGCTCGTTAGATTTCTCCATAAAAAAAAAGTCTTGGTATTATACTACCGACGTATCCATTCGCAAAATTGCTACTGTAGGACTTGTCAAACTGCAATAACAGCCATGAGCGTTACCTACCGAAGCAGATTTGTCCTTCGCAACTTTCTGAGTAGTTGATTCATTAGGGGAAAGCGACGCGGGATTTTGAGAATTTTTATTGACATTCCAGCTTGAAACAGATTGCCCAGATGGCTGAGGGTGATGGTCTTTTCCACTTTTCACTGGATCAGCCTTCTTTTTTGTTCCCCTGCCTTTACCCTTCTGTTGCTGATTCGAGGAAGTGTCTGGAGCTCGTTCAAATGATTTCTTTGACTGCGTGACTTCTTTCTCTGCAATACTGGCTCCATCATCACTTCCTGTCTGAGAAGTATCTAATTCACCATTTTCAAGATCTGCTGAGTCCCTCACGCTTTCACCACTAGAGGTTTCACCTTTCATGGCTGTTTGGGTTTTATCTCCACTTGAAGAACCTTCGTTCAATCCCACTTTGTTGTCAAAACTAGGCCGCCTCTCTTGTTTTAACGCTGGTAGCTGTGTATCCCTTGGTTTATCCGGTGAACTTAACTCTTCTCCCCCAAGAGGGGCTGAGGCGCCAACCTGATACGGCAGACCACTGTCTCCCATTGAAGATGAGGCCCCTGTTACTAGGGGTGTTGGTGGGGTGCTCGCTGAATGACGCTGGCTTTCCAGTGGTCCAGTATTCCTCTCAATTGGCCTATGAACCATGGGAAAACCACCATTACCGCCTGGCTGTCCTGGTTGAGTTTGTTGACTTGACAAAGTTTCATCTACTTCTCTATCTTTAGATGAAAGCTGCTCATTCTGACCAAAACCTTAGTGCAAAGAAAACAATTTTTTTTTTTTAACTGGGATATTAGGCCATATTTCATTAACATCATCTCTAAAAGGATGACTTTGACTAAAACTTGAAAACTACTGTCAAGTATCAATGAATTCAGGGTCGAAAATGAGAACGACACCTAAACTTTCTACCATCCTATTAATATGTTGTTCTTTTAACTCAGAAAAAAACCTGTCCTTCCTTTAACTCACAAAAAATCCAAACCTTCTGAGTTGTCCTCTGTCACATACTTTGTCTTAATTTAATTTCCTGGAGGAAACGTTTTCTTGATTTTGAAAAAATTCTGATTGTGACTTAAAGTTATCAAATCTTATTTCCTCTGAACTCTTGCGGCAAATTATTTTAAAAAAATTATTTTGTCTAGTTTGATGACAAAGGGGCAGAGGTGAAGTTACATGTATTGGCATCAAAATGTTCAAAACTGGCATTCTTGAGCACAATAATATGTTGAACATGTCAAACAATAAAAAATTATATCAAGGGACTATTTTTTACTGACAATATAAACTTTCGAAACTATCAGCCTTTAAAATTTTAAGATTAAACTCATATGAAAAAAAATTGAACCAGCCTGAGAAAAGGAACTGCCCAGTGTATTAAGCTAATGTACTTTGTTACACACCAATATAAGGCAGTTAATATTATACCCAACTCTAACCCACAAATTGCAGCATACTAATGTGATAGTCCAACCATATGGAATTACATAATTTTATTTACTTTTACATATGAAAATGTCACTTTTCATGTATGTAATTTTGTAGTGGTCAGAAAGGACAAATGAAAACATTTTGTTATGACTTGTTGAGACACAACATTCTTGTTCAGTGGTTGAACTCAATCATAATTTATTACCCATGAATCCCATGATTCATCACGTCATATACGTCATACACATCACATTTAACCCCTTTCAACTCACACGATCTGATAGTTAATTCTCTCCTCTAGCTGCTTATTCTCTTGTAAATTAGTTTCAAGAATTTTGCTTTTAGATCAAGATAACAACCTTTACTGGATAAGTTTGAGTATTCTTATTACCTGGCCGTAGGATAATGTATGGAACCTAATATCATTGGGAGAAGTTTTATGTTTACTTGATCACTTTTGGGAGTTAAAGGGTTAATGACTACATTATAAAGACCTTGGCTACTTAAAAAATTACTGTCAATTTCCAAATGTTCTTGATGGTATTTCTACATCTTACAGGTCCTTAAACACAGAGGGGCACTTTTAACAGTTTGACTCTTATAGTCCCCATCAAATGCAGTAATCATCCAAAATGGCAACCACTGTTGAACATGCAAAGACCTTCAACATTTCCATGTCTTTCCTATTTATTTTTACATTTTCTACAGGGGGTACATCAAGTAATTACATGTGGAAACAGACGTCACAACACCATGATAATATCAAGTAATGGCAAAGTAACCTAATCTTGATCACATTTACTGCTACAAATGAAGATGGTTTTCATTGGAGAAAAGAGATACAGACCTCAACAATTTTGACAATGGTGATGAAAAGCAGAAAATTATTAGAGCTTATAAGAAATCCACCTGCTGTTCACTGACTTTGGATGGGCTGCAGCTCAAGCTGTGAATTTAGAGGTCGGCCGCTAATGCCATGATGGTTTTAAAATTGCCAAATTAATGATCCAGAGGTACCTTTTAGGGCACCTGTCCTTTAATAGCTTGTCTTTGTATAAAAGAAAGGTCACAAAAATTATGCTTGAAAATTTGAGCATGATGCTTTTGAGCCTCACCACATTGTGCTCAATTAATAATAAAGAAAAAACATTTAAAGAGCCCCTCAACTTACTACCAGGTAAAATTTGCTACGAAGCTTACCTAAGTTCAGAACACAACATTTCACTAGATCAAATTCCTATGGTGCATTAGTCAGAATACAGAGCTGCAACATCTAGTAAATTTTTTGGAAGGTATATGGTCATCATGCCAGCATTATGCTCAATGTTCTGACTATAACCTAATGCAAGAAAATATGCCAGCCTAATTTATCCAACCCTTAAGCCCTGAGGGGGAGGAGGCCTACTTACTAACATCTTTAAATTTGGACCCATCACAGAAAGGATTTGCAATTACAATCCATTTCAGAAAATGACTGGATTTTTTAAAAATATAATTTCCTTAATTGTTAGGTACAATTTGTCTACGACAAATCATACATCAAAATTAAGACTATATATACAACTTGAGCAAGGCATTGCACCAGAATTACCTGACAAAGGCTCACTGTATTTTAGAAAAGGCTGCAAAATGTTGCCAACTTCCACTTTAGAAGATTACTTGATTTTTTTCCATATCATTTCTTTAATTGTTAGGTATAATTTGTCTAAATTATAAGAAAATTACTGGATCTTTTAAAATATAATTTCCTTAATTGTTAGGTATAATTTTATACATCAAATTAAGACAATACAAATTGAGCAAGGCATTGCACCAGAATTAGCTTACAAAAGCTCACTACATATTAGAAAAGGCTGCAAAATGTTGCAAACCTGTTTTCCTTATCAATGACTAATTGAATAGTTTCAAATGGCTTAAGTGCTGCCCATGTGTAAATTTTTCTAAGAAACATCATCTCAGAGAAGAACAGCTTGTTTTGGAACAGGAATCCCAGAATCCTGACCTTAAGTTTAAAGTACTTTGAGGAAATAAAATTCCCCTTCTACATGTCTGAGCCTACATTGCCCCAATAGTTGACTGCCGGCTAATAAATGCAAAGTGCTCATCAGTTAACTGTCACTGAAGTATCAGTATCTGAAAAATTTATAATTAACAAGATCTCAAAAATAATGACTGTTAATGTTTGTTGTCCAATTTATTCACTGGTACTATGTAATTTTGTACCAATGTCGATCCTACACGACCAACTTTTCAAAGTGCAATATCAAACTTGTAAAAATCATACATCCTGATAACTGAAAAGTCCCTCCCAGGGGGGGTGGGGTACATGTTCCCTTGATCCCYTAACCCTCTTGGATTTTATCCCTTGTTCCCCATTAATAAAACCCATTGTTCCCAAAAATGTTTTCAGCTCATGTTCCCTTGATCCCGAAAATTTTTTCGCTGTTCCCTTGATCCCCAAAAATGTTTATCATTGTTCCCCATATTTGTTTTATATCTTAGGGGCTCAGAAAGTTAAATATATTATTGAAAGTAGATCAGTGTTCCCTTGTTCCCAAAAATCTACTCAAGAGTTCCCTTGTTCCCTGAAAATAATTTGAAAAATTAATATCCCTATTCCCTAAAAGTAAATGTTCCAGTTCCCTAGTTCCCTTGTTCCCTAAAACCCCGACGAGGGGCTCACTGAAGTGTAAAGAAGAACATGTCTCTTTGTCCTCTCCTTAATTGAATATAATTATAATAATAACACTCTCTGGGCCTGTTGGAACAACTCAGCTCTTCCCTCTCTTTACCATTAATCATGTTTCCTCTTTTAGAGTCAGATATTATGTATGGTCAGATAATTAATGACAAAACTTCTAAGAGGGAAAATTGGGAGGAGGTACTTTTAAACTAAGAGGCACACCATCTCAGCATGATTAATAGGAGCCTTAAGAAACTACATTCATTTTGTACAAAATGCTACTGATGAAAATTGAAGCCCAAGATAACACCTAATAATTTCCTTTTACCCCTTCCTGTTAAATGCTATGCTGGTTACATTGAAAGAGACAAGATCCCTATGATGGTTAACTGATTAAAAACAACAACAACAACCCACAAAAAGGGAAATACCACCATCCATATCTTTCAATCAAATATCATAGCTTCATTCCAACATGTTTTTTAAGAGAGCAAATCTGAGTGTCTCAACTGAAAACCTTCATGGGATGATGACAATAGGCGAAAGCAAACTCGTGCAAAAACCATAATCATTAATGGAGAAAAAAAGAATGAGGACTGGCAAACTGAATGGAAAACCAAGTGTACTTTTGATAGTGATCTTGGGTTAAAGTGCTAAACAACCAAGTACTGACAGCTGTCATTGCACTGAGCCTCAAGTGTGATAATCAAGGTTGTAACTCTGGACTCCAGCCTCGGAGATTAAACATTTTACCTTGAATTTCTTATATTATTTGCTAATATGGTGCCTATGGTTCTGGGATAACTCTGGTAACTGCTCCCTACAGATTTTTTTTTCCAAATCAAATACACTGTACTAGAATCTCAATACTTCAAAATTTACAGGAAAATAAAATTGGTTTGAGAAGCAGAGGTTCGAGGTTCTGAGCTTTGTGTTAAATTCAAATTATCCTATCTATAATATTACTAAGGAATAATGTTATTCTTTGCATTCTTTGATTCTTGCACACTCAAAGGTCAGTAGGTAATTGTATAACATATATGTTTCCATAATGTTATCACAATTGTACAGCAAAAGCAATTACAGATTGAGATGTGTCAATCATCTACATTGAACATTTCTCAACCAACGTTATCAGTTAAAATTTCTAGTTCTCAAGGCAAATTTGCGCCAAATTTTTTGTTTGAATCAATTTCGAGTAAGATCATAGTAAGTGACTGCAGGGAAAGCAATGTCAAATCCAAGGGAAATCTGATCTTTTCAAGTTACCGGAAGGAGAGGGGTTGAAACTATCAGGTTGCACTGTATTAAAATTGTCCTTAATTTCGCTTGAAAATCAGCAAACAAGCATCATTGCTATCTGAGTATGATTTTACCCGAAAAGGAATTCAAAAGTCACATACTACTGATACGAAAGCTATATAACTTGCTACGATAGGATGCTTTCGGGAGCGGCTTAATATCTTGCGTTATCTTGCGCATGAGGAAATATTTAACTCTAGAGCACAAGTTTTCACTTTCGAAGGGCCCTGCATTAATAATTCATTATAATAATGACCATATGACTGCAACCGTTTGTTTCAGTGCTATATAGAAAGACAATTGAAGGCCTTTTCAGTTTGATATTAAGCTTCTTAATTCACAAAATTAATATCCAGATCATTTCTTATAAAACACTTCGAGGAATTCATAGTCATCAATAACCTGAGAGATTAAAAATCACACAGCACTTTTAAGTTTGGGCAGGGTTTTATATCCATAGAACGTACCACTTTTAAGAGTAAATTTTACCTTTGACTTGTTCCTCCTTACCTGCACCAGTATCCTGTTTTTCCGCTGTTCCATCGCCTCTCGGTTGCTCGCTCGTAACACGTGGTGCGATCTTTTGCTCTTTTGGGGGAATAATTTGACCGTTTGCCAGACGGTAACCACATTCCGGGCAGCATTTGAATCTAGGAAGCAAGTCTGTACTTCCACAGTTTGGGCACTCCATCGATTTAATCCACGGCTGCATCTCGTTATTTCGCGCTAGTCAACTCGAAGAGACAAACAGCCACTGAATGGTAGGACGTTCTTCGTGAAATTGCATTTAAATGAGCCTTGGGAATAGCAAACTCGTTTCTTGGAAATCAGGCGGAAATAGTGAGTCTCTATGCGACACCTGATTGGCTTCCAATCATGCATATGTCATGAAAGCATGGTAGTTAACAAAGAATTTATTCAATTCTGTGTAATTCATTCTTTTACTCTCCTGGGATCAATGTATTGTGTTGTATTGTAGTGTATCTATCGCGTAATCTGTATTCTTTACTTGCGTAACCCGTTTTGTAATTAACCTTTATCCAATAGTTTTCTTTCCTTTTTCTGTCACCTTGCACCTTGCGTCCACATATATTTAAGGAACTTAAGCAGATCACGACGGCGATGGCAATGAGGACGTGGAAAAACAAGAGATCTAATCGGTAGCAAAATGGCTCACCGCGTGCGTTTTAAAGCTTTGTACATTTCTTAGCCGTCCTTTGCAAAACAACAACGTGAAATCACAAAAATTTGTGTCGTCTGTGAACGGAAACCGCGACGGCAAATTATTTTAATTTCCATTTGGAACTCAACGTTAGGCTGATGTTGAGGTGTGGGGCCGTATGAGACGGTAAACACATGCGGCCATTTTCGAAATTCTAGTCAAAAGTAGGAATTCATATTTTAATCGACGTCTTCCCTGGCGTTGCCGTCCTGACTGCTTGAGGTCCCTAATTTAAGACTTTTAGGTGGTTACGATTGGAGAGGTTTAATTAGTTTTGAGCGAAGGGCGTTGGGGAATTGAAAGGAACAGAGACTCGTTCAAGATCAGAGCACATTCTCATCTCTGAAAAGTCAATCAGAAAACTGTTCTATTTCACGACAAATAATCCATTTGCCGGAGAAAGTATGTGCACAGAGTAGCTGTCAGACAGTAAGCTGACGAAGAATCGGGTGTGGAAGCGGAATAATGAATAATGAATAAGTGCTTGAAAAAGAAAATGAATAAGGAATAACGCCTTAAAAAGAAAATGAATAATGAATAACTAACTAGGGTTTCATCGAGAATAAAGAATTATACCAAAAAAAGAATCGCGTAAAGAAGCGATAAAGATCACGCACTCGAAACTTGCAGTATTCGTCAAATCTTTGATGTCTTTGATGGTTTTTATGGAGTTTGACTAATGATCGTGGGTCGTGGGTCGTGGGTACAAGTCGTGGGTCGTGGGTGTGGGTGTGGGTGTGGGT